AGGTAGACCGAAAATGTAAACCCAAGGCTTCTTCACCTGTACCAAACTCTTTCAATTGAGATATTATTGTCTTATTCTATTCAATACTATGACATGTTGGAACTTTGAACTTGGGTCAAATGACGAACCTAAAGGAAAACTACCCTCTACCAGGGTGAGTGATAGATTTTTTACAGATATTCACAGATATGTCTCTAGCTAGATAGATGGTCATTTTCAGCTAAACCCAGTTCAGCTGTAAATGACTATCTATCTAGCTAGAGACATATCTGTGAATATCTGTAAAAAAATCTATCACTCGCCCTGGTAGAGGGTAAAGGAAAACTGCGTGAAACGTCCTCTTCAAATGGTGCGATAACTGAAGAATTAAACGATACACCAGAGGTCCATCTACAGAAAATTTTATTACAGATTATTTACTAGTTCTAATAATTCACATGAAGAAAATATCAATGGGAACGGCATTAATATCTGCATTACGTGCAGGTCTTTTTTTATCTCAGTGGTACAGAATCCTGTGCAAATACCGTAGTTTTTAGAAGGTAACTTTGTGCGTGTGTCGGGGAGGTCTCAGATGGGTCAAATCACTTTTAAAATGGTTGTTGTGGGAGTAAGTCGCGAGCCCAAACATGTAGGCCTACCCTTTAAACTTGTATCAATTACACGTGTTTTGGAGATCCCCTGGTGTTTTGATTTTTATCACATGTCCATCTCCTAATTTTGAAGGAGTTAAGGCGGAGAGGTAGCCTGGGGCTTTAATATTTTGTAGATGTGGTTTTCAAGCTAGCGCACTTTGTATATAAGTGTGCATTTCTTATTGCACAGCAAAATATATAGTACAATGGTGCCTGGTTATTCTGCATACAAATAAAGAAAATGCACAAAACTCGCCACGCATGCATACATGTACATTACTTTTATTTCATAACATGTTTTACTGGAATAGAAATATTTCTAAAATCAGTCGTCCGGAAATTATTAATGTGAGCGTATAAGCTTTCTAGTAAGTGTATTAAAGGCCATAACCATAAATCATAATAAGAACGAATTTTTGTTTTTCCGTTATGCCCTGGAACTACCGTTTATCACCAGTGACATGACACCATTACGATAGGTCAGAGTAATTGTGGTCACGCGAGATCGTGATTGACGTCTCGTGGTTTGCGTGGTTGTCACGGGACTTTGGTTACTGCTGATACCCTGACCATGGTTACACACAGCAAAGCCACAATAAACTGTCATTTCGATGCGTTAAAAAAACGTGTAACCAAGAAGTTGTAACTTCTTGGTGTAACATAAGATGCAATTGTCAAATACACACAAATGAAGAGACTTTTCATGAGAAAAAAAAGACAAAGTTGGCTATGTTTAACCAAATACGATAAAACTGATAGTTTAACTTCGTTCTTTAAGGTATGCTATCCGTATACGAAAATACCCTTAAGTCGTAACTTCTGTGTCTATATATCTAGGCATCTGAAGCTAAATCATTTCATCAGAAATGACATAATACATCGAATCCAAGTTCACGGACGCGAGGCACAATGATTCGGGAGTAGAAAAATATTGCTTTTTTTCTCAAGGAAGATTCGATTTGGAGCAAAGATCCCAGAAAGGATATCTTTCATTGGACTATTTGGCACTAGGCTAATGGGAGTTGAGCTTCGCTCACCGATGAAGGTGGCAGTCGGACCTGAGAATTAGAGAATGATACTCGATGAGATATTGCATAGAATTGGCCCAAAAGATGTCTCCAACAAATTGCCAATAATGGTTTTCGGTTGCAGTTTTCGTTGTTTCTAGCTCAACATAAACATCACTTAGATCCACGTCTTAAGACATTATTGGGAGCAGATGTAGTGCAATCTTCAGAGTGAGCAGGAGTGCCATTTTTCATCAGTTTTGCATCTACATCCGGGTCGCTCGGAGTGTCTTCTGTAGGAAATGATTCGGAGCCATTATCGGAATCAGTGGCGGCAGCTTTACAGTGACCAAACAATCTGAAACAGCATTGTTGCAAAATATAACTATGTTATTCAATAAATCACGGTAAACATCACCCCCATCCCTTTCTGCCAAGGGCAACTTTATGGATTTTTTAAAATCATAAATACAACCTTAGATTTATGATGCACCTTTTCAGTACAATGTACGTTATTCAGCAGCTCTCGCTAGACAAGGGCAAGACCTTCAACAAAATTTATTATTATGAGTGTAGAGATAAGAGATATGGTCGTATTCCTTACCCAGCTGAATTCAATAACGTGTCAAACTCCCTTATGTTCTGAGGAAGTTTGCGGTTCACTGTTTCCGGGAGCAGCATGGCCAGAAAGCCAGCGGCAATAGCATTGAGCCCAAAGATTACCATAGGCAGATAGGAGACTAAATCCTTCAGCATCATTATCTGTGGACCAAGAGCACTGCCGAATCGTGCAAAGGCAGATCCCATACCAATAGCAATGATCCTGAAACACCACAAAACGTATCCTTTAATTCACTGTGAAAAAATCCAAACCAACCCCCCCCCCAAAAAAAAAAAAAATGCGAACAAATTTGCTTCAAAAAATTAATAAAATTGAGACAGCCGTACTTATAGATTAAGCACACAGACAAAGCAAAATACGACAAGCTGATACGTTCTGTGAAGCAGAAAATAAAACAAAATAAAAATCGCAAATAGGGAGTGTTTTTAAACATCGCTGATATTTCATTAACAATTTAAGGCTTGCTATAATTGCTCCTTCTACGTTACACAATGTATATGTTATGTTTTAGCATGCTGCAACCCCTGGCCTTGCCTCATCACTGTGGGGTAGCACTCGGCCGTGAACAGCCAGATGATCACGAAGGACGCTGAGATTCCCATCTTCCCAATGATTGCAAAGGTCACGATTAACCAGTGGACGTCTGGATGTTTAAAAGATAGCTCAAAACAAGACATAAAATGACAAGACATTGTTTCCCGTTATTTGATTACCAAACATAAACTTATGATATTCACGCAATATTACTTACAGTATAAAGAGCAAAAAAGCGTGAAAACGGCAGATAGTTTTTGATTTAATTTTCGAAATTACAAATTACAAAACAATTCATTTGCTCAAGTTTTTGTCTGTGACGTAAGCAAACTACATGTACATCAGTGGCTACGGTGGGATGGTTTAAATCCATATGACTAATAAACAGAAAAGCCGGTGGTAGGCCTATAATCGCTTCATCGTCATCCATCAAATGACCTGTTCTTAATTTACATTAATGCCAATTTTTGTATTCCATTATTAATTAAACGCTTTGGACACTTCGATTTTCTGATGTATATGATATGGATGGGGGCTTTATTGACTTCCTTGTAAAGACACGCCAGATATAATCAAATAAAATTGAAATACAAATCTACTGTCAAAACTTGAACAACACAAAAAGGAAAAAATCTTATTAACAATGTACTTGGAAAATAAAACCTACATTACTTGAACAAATGCTTATATAATCTAGATTAGAATTTTCTCGTTTTGTGAAGCAAGACTAAATACGAATGTTCTTAAAATGTGTAGGCCTACCCACCAGAAGTTAGGCACCCAGACACCAAGCAGCCAATGCCACCAAGTAACATGGTACCAATCAGCGTCGTGCGTCTTCCGATCTTGTTTACGGCATATATGGCGAAGGCGTACGCCGGAATCTCAATGGCGCCCATCAGGGTAAAGTTAACGTAGAGGTTGCCGCCGAGATCTTCCGTTCCCAGAGAAACACCGTAGTAGACCATGCCGTTCACCATCCTTGGAACAAGAAGGCCTTTTTATGAAATATGTTTTTGTGATCTATAGATAGGAACTATTCTTTTACTTAGAGACCAAGTATCATGAGTCAAACATGACATTTCGATCCACCATCTATGGACAAGTAACCAATAAGAGGTTAATTAAGCGACATGGTTGACAAATCTCGCATTCTTCGCAATTTGGGCAGTAAGAGAGCTATTCCATTGTAAATAAGAGAGACAAAAGAGTCATTTATCTAAGCACCAGAATATCGATGGTTTGTTAGTTTTATCGAGAAGAAGAATACATGCCTCATATGATTTGATCGTGAATATCGCAAAAAAAAAAAAAAAAAAAAAAAAAAAAAAATCAGATTTCGTTATCTCAGAAATGTCAGTGTAACACATTATGTTACAACCATCACAAAAATATTGGTGCAGTAGCTGTTATATGTCATCACTGAAGCGTTCTGTACAAAAATAAGGGCCCAAAAATACGTTTTACATCCTAGAATAGATCACGAAGGAAGAACATGTACGCATAGGCAATCAACAAGGCAATAAAACCAATGCAGTATAGATTATACTGGGTAAGACAACACTAACCAGATAAAGCACATGCTCGCAGTGATCGCCAGTCGACGCCTTGTTTTCACTAAGTCTAACGGAGTGAAGGTTTCGGCCAGCGCCTTGGCGTCTCTAGAGGTTTTTAAAACCCCCTGTATGTCCCCCTCTTTCACGTCGACTTTGTTCCATCTTGCCACCTTTCGAAGCAGTTCCTCAGCCTCACTATGCCGACCTCTAGACAATAGCCAGCGAAACGATTCTGGTAGCGTCCTTGAAGAAAAACCAACAATTTCATTGTAACCTGCCAAAGCTAAAATAAGCTATATAGAAATGTGCATACATGTATGCATTATTGAAGAAGTACAATGTTTGTAAAAGCTACATTAATTTTGAATCGGACAGTCATTTTGTGATAGTTGAAAAGTGGAACTGAAGAGTTAAAGTTCCCAGTTAAAATACTGCGTCAGCAGTATGATGCCATGGGTCTCTGGAACAGACCTTCGAACACTGGTCGTCAAATATACGCATTCCCGTTCTCAACGCTTTTGATTATCAACCACCCACTGAAAGGCGAATACTCACAGCCAGAAGAATCCAAATAATATACAAGGTGCGTACAGGGCCAGAGCAAGGTGTCTCCAGTCACGGATGAAGTAGGCAAAGAGAACGAGGACAAAATAGCCCAATGTGAAGAAGTAGGTCATTGAAATAGCCGCTGAATTGCGCTTGCTTGGACCCACGAACTCAACGGCTGAAATGAGAAAATTTCAAATAGTCATGCATTCTGCTCAATTACAAATTAAAATAGGATATATTTAATTAATTTGGGTTTCTAATAGTATTCCGTCTGCCTGTCTATAGAGAAGATACACGCTGGCCCCTTCTGTACCTTTAAGCATTCCAAAACAGTTTTTTCATAATTAACGAATTTTTTCGGGGTAATAGCATTTTCCCCCGCCTTACCCACCTTTAATCTTCCTTCTCTGACATTTGCCATAACTCTGTAACAATTTTGGAAAAAAAAGCTAAAGGTCAAAGCTGCGCTTAAGCGCAGGTTTTCCTGATACGCCATTCAACCAATGGCTCTACTTCCGGATATTCCGAGACAATTGTGCCGTGATTTAGTTAAAATTGCGTTTTTTTCAAACTGTGACTGACTACCAGGTTGGACGGGGGACAAGGAGTTTTTAAAGGTCATATATATGTCATTATAGACCTATTTTTAAAAGTTTTATTGTTCTCAGATAAGTTCAACAATAAGCTATCCATGAATTTAGAATGCGTTTAAAATCCTGGCTTGGATTGCCTAAAATGACAAAATACTGACACGGCCTATACTTTAGTAAACCTAAATTGTGCTAGAACCAATAAATAGGCTATCATTTGAAAACTGCCAACGCGTGTGACCAATAGAGAAACAATAATATGGTGTTGCATAGTGAGATTTACATAGGGCATGAACTACTCTGCGTGTGCTGTGTTTTGTATTATATAAAATCCCCCTGCTCTGTCACACAACCTATATCAGATGGTAATAAAAACATCATGTGTGTTTTAATATCAAAACAATACAGAAGCAGGACAGACCTAGAAGATATGAACATTCTTATGTCTTGACATTTACGACGACTATAGGTTGTTTTGGAAGGCGGCAAAAATGGCTATACACTGAAGTACAGCAAAATAATTGTTGCATTTCCAGAACACCAGCTTGAAGGGATAACAACTATTCGTTTTGGAAAAAAATATTTGGGGTAAACGACAATTTCCCATGCTTACCAATGGTTAATAAATCTATTTCGGACATTCAAAGTTTGTCTATGTTTTTTTTTTCTAAAAAATATTTTTGTAAATATTTCTTAAGAGATAATTACGGAGATATAGACATCTCTGAAGGTCCACGTGGTTTGATGGCAAGCTCAGATTCCAGAATCATTGCCGTTTTGGTGGTAAAATAGGTTTTATTATTTTTCTATGAATTGTGAACAATGTTTTTATTGTGAAATATAAATCTCATACGAACAGTTTTCTCTCTAACACCATGCAATGCATGCCTCTGCTTATTCCCTAACAAATGATGCCTGCAGTTTTGAAGAGAAAAATCGTTAGAATACCTGTATACTTAAACATGCACATATACATACCTATGGTGTAAGCCACGTTAAAATAAAACCCATTTAGCACGCCTTGGATACCCTGAGATACAACATATACCACCATACTGGGAATGAGCGCCGTCGCTATCCCCAGCAACACGGAAACCATCAGAGCCAGCAACACCGAGGGGCGACGACCAAACCTTTGAAAAAAGAATAGTACGTTTAAGGTTTGCTTTTTTCATGAATTTCCCTGAAATAGTACAATCCATTCAAATATGTGCGCACTCCTGTGTGCCTTTCCTTAGTAGACAGATTACATAGAAGTATAGGTTTGAACGTTTACATATTCTCATACCGGAAAATTTCACTTTTTTCTTGAAACCTAAATGAATTCGACCTGCTCTCCTCTCAAATAGAAAATGATTTGGTATCAAATTAATGCATTTTAAGTACGCACGAATCTCATTGCGGTTTATGGAACCCAAAAACGAATTTCTTTTTTTTTTTTTTTTTTTTGGGGGGGGGGGTAATCTTTTTAATTTATTTATTCTTTTATTATTTTTCTTGCTATAGTTTTAAGGCGTTGGACGTGGATTTTTGAAGACATACCTGTCTGAAATAACGCCTGATATGATGTCCCCTATTAGCTTCCCTATAAAGAAAACTGACTTGCTGGTACTAACTTGCCACTCGCTGCCGCACGCTAGATCAAACTGAAAATAATTCACAGACAGATCTAGATAAAATCATGTTTTCTTAAAAGAAAGTAATGTTGATGGTGTGACCCTTGAATATGTTTTAGAAAAAAAAACAAAAAAACAAAGAACAACTCCAGTAAAGTGGTTATTTGCCTCAACAGATATTCAAAAGAAAGAAAACGTTAAATATTTTGTTCCAGATCTTTAAAAAAAATCGTATCCCCCCTCTCCGTTTATGTGCATCTCTGAGTACTGTTAATACATTTAAATGTGATCTATTGATGAGATTAACTGTTCAAATGGAATCATACATGCGATGCGCACAACAATACTCTCTAACTGATCATATGATATGCAAAACTGTAACATAAACATGCAGATAATATTCAATGTTCCCACTGTAATGTGTTGGTCAAATGAACCTGTTTTACACATGCTGGTTCGAAACATGAGGGCCGATGAAAGGAGTTATACAGGATGAGATCACCATTTAATGAAAAGGTCGGAAAATATGGCGTGGGTTTCATGGGCTGCCTAGGCCAAAGATATTTTTGGAACCCCATAAAGCCAAAAATACACCGACGGTCGGAAAATGTCATCCCTGTTTATACCAAGCATATTGCTAGTTGAACTAATCTATAAGAGACAAACAATCGCTTTCATTATGTCGCACTTGATAATATTGTGTAATACTTTGATATAATGGGTGACTTTTTGGGTTCATAATCGTTCAATAGAGAGTTTGCATACACGGGGCTTGCATTAAAAATTACCTCAGATACGACCGTGGACGTGTAGATGTCCTTAGCGTAGGTCCTCCCTTCAGGGCAAGGCAGCTCTGTGCGATTCCCATCAGACTGGCCCGTCCATGCCGAAATGAAGTCTTCTGTATCATTTCCAACGTTCCGAATCACGATGCTACATTTGCCTGGTACCACTCTATTGACATCTTGGTCTGTTGGAAATGACGTGTTTGGCGGGAAGAGTCGCGAGGACAGGTTGTTGTAAGGCGCGAGTGTGACGTTCTCGTAGACTTGCGGTACCTTGCAGTGGTAACTGGGGGTGGCCGTAAAAAAGACTGATCCCAACATGTTAAAAGTGGCATACATATTGATCAGACATATTGAGATATACTGCAGCCTTTGGTATCTCCCGAACTCCCCGACTATCTTCAGAAAATCGTCCAGATGCATGATGCCGTCTAGATGTGTGTTGAGTGTAACGCGTCTCGTGTTTTGTGGTCGACCTCACCACGCTGGAGTCATTTAAAGACAAAGACCTTGTCCGAGAATGCGTCAACCGAATGGAAAAATACAAACTACTCGCTTCAGAATGCCTGGAAAAGTCAATGTAAATGTGTTGTCACAATCCTGATAAACATTCATTTAAAGGTAAAGCCATTGGTTTAATATTATAAAATCAAACACTGTCACCTTCGAATTTCAAACAGGCTAACCATTGGGCGGCATAAGGTGCAATCCACCAGCCATATTTTCAATAGCCAAAACCTGCCACCAATTTGCCGTTTATCAACATTCTGCCATCGCAACTGCCACTAATGGCGCCTTGGGGTGACAAATTTGAGTCAGTTTACTGGTAGAACGGTGTAACGTGACAGAGAGCCCCCCATGATAGAGAGTCCGCTTCCCATTTATTTGAACAGGTAAGCCTCGCCTTAGATTTTGACCCACTTAGATCAGGCTAACCCTAACCATTATATCTAAATGGAGGGCGGACTTTCTGTCACACGAACCCTCAGTTTTGTTACACCTAGAATGGCCAAGGGGGTTGGTGCCAAAGTTAAGAGGCTTTAGAAGTGTTGTGAATTTACATGACAATTTAATTCTAAATTGAGAGTTGGGTTCTTTTTAAGTTGTTAAAGGAAAACCAACTCTTCATGTGAGACTCAAAATTTCACATTAAATTTATTGTAAAAACAACACTTAGAAATAATATAAGAAATTCTATTTTACCACCAAAACGGAGGTTATACATGTAGCAATTATTCTGAATTCTGAAGACTTCTATCCCGATTCATCCTCGCTCGGTATTACGTATGTAGTAACAGGAAGCTCGGCGTTCCCATTATACAATCATGAACATCAAAACTGGGCTGAGGATATCACCTTAGCATAATATAAACATGACCTTAATTCACAATTATCATTTATTACAATTCTTACGATTCTCTCCAAGCAATAATGTGATTGGCTTCTCATCTAACACATTCCACAGTAAAAGATGCTCAGGCCGCATCCAGCTGCCTCCTCTAAATTTCGCTTGATAATAATAGCATAGAGATTTAATTATAAAATAAAACTATATACACGAAACAAATTGCTTTTCTTAATCCTAAAATTATCTTAGAAAATCTAAACGTCGTCTGGTACGTTATTACCAGTATCTGAATGTTGGACTGCGCGTAGCACTTTCAAGATGTGAGCAACACTATACAAACTAGACGCTAACTTTTTCGCAGATGCAACATCCAGTAATTTCTGTAAATCAAGAGTGCTATGTAATGTGATCAATCTTGGTGTCAAAACATTTAGATAAAGAATTGGCTATAACGAATTGGCTATATAACGTACCTTGCGTCCGACGGGCTGCGTCATACAACATCCCATTCGAGCCAATGCAGAGAAATTGTCTGGCTCGTGATTGCCGGAGTGTTACCTGTACACAAAATGGGAGCATGCATTCGGCACATCCGAACTATGTTACCTATGTTACCTATAGTTACCTAACTAATGCACCATGTCCTTGGTAACTACTTATAAATCAACTGTTATAGTACACCTGCCGAAAGCCTCTCCAAAACAGTGGAAAACATAGTACTACCTAATGGCAATTACTGGACATAAACGCGATGTTTATGACCACTATATGTCCGAGAGTACGTGCCTTTCATTGATATAGGTTCATTTTAAAGAAAGGAACATAATTTCAACAGTTACAACAGGTGTAATATACTTGAAAAGAAGAACCACCGTCTTAACCAAAATGATTTTTAAAAGTAAATTAACTGTTATTGTACACCTGCCGAAAGCCTTTCTAATACAGTGAAAACATAGTACTACCTAATGGCAATTACTGGACATAAACGCGATTTTTATGACTACTATATGTCCGAGAGTATGCGCCTTTCATTGATATAGGTTCATTTTAAAGAAAGGAACATAATTTCAACAGTTACAACAGGTGTTTAAACCTTCTAAACCGAAATTATTTTAAAAAGTAATTAAAAATATATGCATTTTATATATTTTAATGACTCGCGTTTGATCAACGTACTATTTTACCTCGTTAAAGCCCCAAGATGGCTCCTTACTGCAGTCGCCGAGAAGGTATGCAGTGTGACGTCCTGCTCCCACAAGTTGTCTCTGATCTCCAACAGAATAAGCTTTGTTCTTATTTGCACACAAAAAAAGGAATATGTATGAGACTCAGATGGTACTAAATGTGCTACAAAACATTTTATCAGTTACTATGGGGTACAGGCTGTTCCTGACACTTACGGTGATGGAAAAATCCGATGTTCTAATTTTAGGGGAAAAATGCATGGAAAATTTTCCTATGCTTGAATAGTCCATTGAGAACTAAATCCATAATTAAATTAAAAAGGTGATTGGACGTTGATTTTAGGAAAACAAAGAAACGTGTGGGAATGGAGAAAGCATGGACCCCACGCGCTATGTGCAGAATCTACATCCTTCACTTGGTGCTTACCCACGAGAGAGAAAATAACACACTTTTTATCAAAAAATAATGTTAAAACAGCAAGATATAACAGTGTAGTCGGGTGCTGTATAACGAAGACACAAATAAGCCGTTTAAATTAACAAAAGAATGAGCCTATTGCCCGCTACAACAAACTGCGTAAACTGTACAACAGATTCACGAAACTTATATCAGGGGCGGAGCCAGAGATATTTTCTGACAGTCTCCCAAATTTACTTTGTTGATCCATCTTCCATTTTTGACCATCGTCCGACAGAAAACATTAGATGGCTGACAATGTAAACTTGAAAATCTGACCGTCTTCCAGAAGACCCAGAAGACGGCCTAAATCCACCCCTGTATATAAACATATGACATTTCATGATTACAAAGATGGGCTGATAAAAAAGTCAGTCCAACCAGTGTTCATCCTGAGTCAATCAAAAATAAAAAAAAAAAAAAAAAAAAAAAGGACAACCTATTTTACGCACATGATGATCCTGGGGACATACTGAGAGTAGGAGTGAAGATAGATTAGTTAATACTTATCGTTAAGAATTTTTTAATTCCTTAATTGAAGTTCGGAGTGTTTACATTTCTATATGTTATAGCAATATAAGTGCTTATATGATCAAAGTACTCCAGTGTGAGCGTAAGGGTTCATTTCCAATGGAAGTATTGTTCTACATAGATCGATCCAACTCCGCGTGAACTCTCGCTGAATGCAATCAGATTAATAGATTAACACATTTCCTATTGTTCCCAATGTACTCGTATAATCACAGGCTTTTCTTTATTCTATACACAACGCCAAGAGGAGGCGTACGCGTTAATCTGACTTCCCGTTGGAGTTGGATCGATCTATGTAGAACAATAGTTCCATTGGGAATGAACCCTAAGATGGCCGGAGCTTCGGCATCAGGTACGGTGCGATCCTCTCTGTGACCTAGCAACCGCGAAGTTCCCAAGAGCACGTAACCTCACCACCTAGGTCAAAAAGCCTCCAGAATATTTGAATTTAACCACAACTATAACGAACGGCAGCCGTCTTAAGAATTTAACAATACAATTTGAAAAACTGCTTCAAGCAGTGTTTAATTTTGAAAAAATAAGATTACTGACCTTTCCGATGTGTTCCCTATTTCAGTTTAAGGTCACTGACGGTCTTCACATATTTTACAGAAATGCTTACGTATAATGGAGCAAACAGCTGACATACTAGTTGAATCTTTTTAAATGTATTTTCCTTGCAGAGCATCCTTCTTAAGCTGCAATTATGTTAAAGTTAATGGCCGTCTGTTCACACCCAACCTAATAGACCATACTGCCGTTAGCACTCCCATACTCTTAAATAAGGAAAGACGTAAAAAATTCTTTTCGCTGCACAAACAATTAGATAACAATTTCAGGAGAAATCACAGTTTTGCTATCTATAATTCACTAGTAAAGAAAAATATATTTAACTTTAATCTGAACATATATTGTGAAGAAAGGAAACCAATTAAAGAAAAATATATATTCTCGAACTTTTGAATACATATAATGAACAATTTGCATTCCTGTATTTCATCAATAAATACATATTGGCGAGTAACCCTGCTGTTAATCAATTAAGAGGTAATCCCCACACGCCAGTTTGTGAATATCAGACGCTGGACGAAGCGGCCTGTATATAGCTTTGTCTCTGTTGCGAGTTAATTGAAAAATAGTGTGATGAAAACAGCAGTAATTATGAAACCATACGATAGGTGACCTGATGGGTTCGACCGAGGTTGCCTTTTCCCAAGGTAGCTCCATCGCGTGCTTTCGCAGAAACCTTGATGTTTACCTGCATTTATTGAAGAGTTATATCGGTGCAAGAGGGAAGCGAAATGCAGCAGTACTTAAAAAGAGAGGCTAAACTGCCTTTCAGACGTTCTGATTCAAAAACCTAAACTTTTAATCTAAGATCCATAGATCTTTAGATAGAGGACTCTTTTGACAGACATAGCAGGTGCCAATGACAACAGTAATGCTCATAAGGATAATAGTGTTTTTTATTACTTAAACTGAATGTATTCTTATGGTGATAAAATTCTGCCAAATTTCAAGTACTAAATCTCTGGGTCTATTCAACGTTCTTTTTTTTTTTTTTTTTTTTCATTTCCATCTATAATGACATTAATTTTGATAAGCATGAGTGTATGGGCGGGTTTAGGCAAGTGCTCCTCTATATATCGATTTGAATACTGCAGTTAAATCTTGCCTTTCGGAACAAGAACACGTAAGGTGAAATTAAAAAAATCAGACCAATTGTTTTTAAATGACTGTTTAATACATTAAACCACACTTAACAAAACTGGATTCCAAACCTGTTGGTCCTTCATCAGATTTTTCTTAATAATAATAATAAGAAGAAGAAATGGACTTCTTAAAACAGCGTACATTCAAAACAAGCAGAATCCAATATACAACTGATGACGTCAGAAGGAACCATAAGAGACGGTTCGACTTATTTTTACTCACACCTGTCGTGAAGAAACGATATACTGTTTAAGTACGGTTATCACCACTACTACTTCATTTTGCCAGACAAAAAATCCCGCGCATTAAAAGCAATTTTACTTATTTCCAATATTTCAACTATAAATCTTCTTAAACAGTGGGGTAATGGTTTATTAACACTGGGCAATTTTGTTCTTTGTTTTTTGTTTTTTTTTGGAAAACATCAGGTAATGAAGGATTTTTAAGAGTGCGTTCAGAACAGAAGATCTGCAGAATAACTGATCCGCAGAATAAATATGGAAGAACCCCTTAAAAAAGCAAGCCAGTTACGATCCCCTGATGGTCTCCCCGCTTCCATACGCGCCATTAAACGAAATAAATCTCTTACCCGAGTTTTAACTGCTAGACCCCGGCAGCGACGGTGCATGTTGGAGGGGGGGGGGAGATCATCAGGGATTTAGCAGCAACGCTCTTTAGTGCATCAGCCAAACTTAGTCCGCGGATCTGTTAGTCCGCGAATCAACTTGCTCTGAATGCGTTTCTAGGTTACCGGTAAATGTGTCTTCAACTTGGCAGATATGACGGTGCCGTCATGATCGGAGCCTGTCACTATATCACAGATTGTGAAGTGCTTCTAAAAAATTTATACAGGTAGGCCTATATAGCCATTCTTTCATTCGATATAATTTCCCAAACGCCACAAGAGCAAACAGAGTACACAGAAAGATGTGTTCAATTAGGAGGGCACTGTATATGTTGTGACTGATATTTATTTTTTTCTTGTCGATTAACTTCCTTCAAAAGTCAAAGTCACTTGTGAGATTGATATCGGTTCATTACGTCTTAGAACGTCATATCATATTTGTAACATTACAACATACATACCCCTGAATACCCATTAATTATATTTTATTTTTTATGTTTCTGTCGTAGGAAAATATTTTCTATAAAAAATGAATCATACCATTTCTAAAATCACAATTGAATGACTCAAATATGCTAAAACGTATATCACGATTTTGTGACTGACAAAAATAGATTGCTCGTTTGCCTTTGCTCCATCTTTCCCTCACAAATGCTTTAAGAAACTAAACTGATAGCAATGGAATGACAGCATGCTGAAAACCAACAAGGTCGACGCAGTCACTATGGCCCCCGCGTTGCAGTAATCTATCTCGCAGTAACACTCCCACAGCTCTCCATTCTCCCAGTCTCGAACGCCAAACCAGCTGCCCCCGCTCTCCCCGACTTTTGTCCCCCTGTAACTTCTCTCTCCGTTAGAGTCTATGTAGCCGCATGCTTCCGCACTGACGTAACTGGTGAAAACGTCACAGCCGCGGCTCACTCCTCCGCCGCCTAGATTAAGAATAGAGAAAAATATATTATAATCTACATATTCTTTAACATATACCATGTTCTGTTTGAAAATGCCCCAGTCATATTTTTATGTCCAACTATCTTACAAAGCTTGTGTTTCCCAATTCAGACTAAAAAAAGAAGATAAAGCCGCTAAAATAAAAGTACCTGACGTCGATATTTGATTATGAAATGTATTATGAAATGATTATGAAAAGGATGGAAAGGCGGTCTAAACCAAGATTTGTTCGGAAATGGATTGGAACAAAACAACGAATCCAAGTGCAGGAACGGGTCGAGTAATGAAGGGTCGAGTAAAGGAGAAAATTCCTGATTTTTCGCTCGGGGAAAATTTAAATTTGACGCAAAATAAGTCATGTAAATCTTTTTCTGACGTCACATGAAAAGTGACGTCATACACACCTGACTTTGCTTCTTTCCATTTGTAGCACCTGTCGCACTCCTGGGTAGGAATAGGCCCGGTGATTGTGGCGTTAGCGGGGATGTTGGTGTTGGCTGCATCAAAGGGATCGTCACACCCAGGGTAAGTGACGGAATCGCACACGTAACACGTCACGGAGTACGCTGGAAGAAAGACAAGTGAAATTGAAACATCTATATACCGCAGGTAGAGAGAGAGAGAGAGAGAAAAAGAGAGATTTGTGTTCCAAAGCTGCAAACTGCTCAGGTAAATAGATGTTTATTCCAACGTGAGCAGAAAACGCGAAGTATTTTAAAAGCCCAGAAAATACGTAATATATATATATATATATACAATCAGCATAACAAAAACAAATTCATAATTTTACTCAAGTTGGTCGAGTCAATATGGCCTTAATATATGTTAATAAAACGATGACATTAGGAAAATAAACAGTTTACGGCATACATCAAGTGACACACATCGTACGTAGGCCCGCCTCTCCAAAGATTTTCTACCAAGCTAAAATATTTGACTGATTTTCTACCAAGCTTACATATTTGACTGTTGTTTTATCCGTTAAATAACCCTGGAAACAAGGAGTTTGTCGTCATTCAGCTACTGGAGGTAGCAACAAAGCAGTCATTAATAGTAAACAATGTTTTGTCGATGTTATGAAATAAAGAGCATTTTACTCCAATGATATTTATGGCTATTTTGTACAGAGTCTCACCTGTTCTGGCAGTCCCAAGAAATATGACAAGACAAAGCGCAAAGTTCAAGTTAACCATGGCTCTTCGTTTACAGCATCTGAGACGCAAGAAAGTAAGTGGTGAAATAATATTGCTAGCGAATTAAATAATAACACCGAAATTCGGGAACACCCATTACGATATTTTATGACGATAAAACGTAAACAGCAATGCTGAAGTTGCCTATTAATTATGAACGGGGCAGACTGGTTCATTGAAGACATCGTAAATAAGGCGTCTAGTATTTTTAGTATTCCCAAGGCGCGTGGTCGAAATACAGTTGAAATGTGTGTGCTACACAATATAATTAATGTTATGACGCATGATAAAATATATCTATAGAAAGACTGTATTTATCAAAAACGTTTGCATAGAAAAACAACGGATTCTTATTATGTAACAGATAACATATAACAGATACTTATATATCTCTTATATGAAAAAAAAATGAAGCTCTGTTTTGCTTTAACTTTCACCCATTTTTTTTTGCTACAATTAAGATGATCTTTTAAAAGAAAGTATTAAGAAAACACTTACAGTAAGTTGCTCTCATTGTATTTCAAACACAGATAAGTGTTGGTTCGTTTGCACAGTGCAGTGCCCTCCAACGCTGAGCGTCCCCTTTAGTCTGAACGCTGGTGATCCACAGGCAGTTCTGCACCACCAGGGGTCGCGCTGGGGTGCCTGCTTTTTCCCAGAACGTATTTAATCAAGTCCCAGCAATACACGCCATTTCCCTATTTCAGGCAATCTGAATCGATTGTGGACGCACGGCGTTCTCAGTTTTTCACCTGTATTACCTGGAAATCTTTTCATAATGAAATAACTTCATGACGTGATGACATTTCACCGCAAATTATTTCGATTTGAGCAATATTGGCACTTGGGTTTTTTATGAGTCAAAATGTTATTTTTTCGTTTATGTTGTAAAGCAGATCGACAATGAATTGGAAAGACGTTTTGGCATTGGAAAGGTATCTCAAATATAAGGCTAAGTAACATGTTTTTAGATGGCAGCATCAAAGTATTATTATTATTATTATTATTATTATTATTATTATTTTAGCAATCTCTTTGTAACGTGACACAGAGCCGCTTCCCATTTATTTGTACAGGTAAGCCTCGCCCAAATTTTGACCCACTTAGATCAGGCTAACCCTAACCATTATAACTAAATGGAGGGCGGACTTTCTGTCACACGGACCCTCAGTTTTGTTACACTTAGAATGGCCAAGGGGGTTGGTGCCAAAGTTAAGAGGCTTTAGAAGTGTTTTGAATTTACATGACAATTTAATTCTAATTTGAGATTGGGTTCTTTTTAAAATGTTAAAGGGATACCAATCATTCATATGAGACTCAATTCTATTTTACCACCAAAACGAAGGTTATAGCAATTATTCTGAATCCTGAAGACTTCTATCCCGATTCATCCTCGCTCAGTATTACGTATGTAGTAACAGGAATCTCAGGGTTCCCATTATACAATCATGAACATCAAAACTGGGCTGAGGATATCACCTTAGCATGATATAAACATGACCTTAGTTCACAATTATCATTTATTACTATTCTTACGATTCTCTCCTAGCAATAATGTGATTGGCTTCTCATCTAACACATTCCACAGTAAAAGGTGCTTAAACCGCATTCAGAGGCTTCCTCTAAATTTCGCGTGATAATAATAGCATAGAGAGATATTTATATAATAAAACTATATACACGAAACAAATTGCTTTTTTTTTTAATCCTGAAATTATATTAGACAATCCAAACGTTATCTGGCACGTTATTGCCAGAATATAAGTGCTGGACGGTGTCGTAGCACTTTCAAGATGTGAGCAACACTATACAAACAGGGAATTATATCTGTGTCTTCAACTTGGCAGCTATGACGGTCACTATATCACAGATTTTGAAGTGTTTCTAATAAATTATACAGGTATATGGTCATTCTTTCATTCGATATAATTTGCAAGGCCGACGCAGTCTCTATGGCCCCCGCGTTGCAGTAATCTATCTCGCAGTAACACTCCCACAGCTCTCCATTCTCCCAGTCTCGAACGCCAAACCAGCTTCCCCCGCTCTCCCCCACTTTTGTCCCCCTGTAACTTCTCTCTCCGTTAGAGTCTATGTAACCGCATGAAAAGAATGGAAAGGCTGTTTAAACCAAGATGTGTTCGGAAATAGGATTGGAACAAAACAACGAATCCAAGTGCAGGAACGGATCGAGTAATGATTCGTGAAAAGGAGAAAAATTCCTTATTTTTTGCTCGGGGAAAAATTTAATTTGGCGCAAAATGAGTCATGTAAATCTTTTTCTGACGTCACTATCAGCTATGAGTGACGTCATACACACCTGACTTTGCTTCTTTCCATTTGTAGCACCTGTCGCACTCCTGGGTAGGAATAGGCCCGGTGATTGTGGCGTTAGCGAGGATGTTGGTGTTGGCTGCATCAAAGGGATCGTCACACCCAGGGTAGGTGACGGATTCGCACACGTAACACGCCACGGAGTACGCTGGAAGAAAGACAAGTGGAATTGAAACATCTATATATATACCGCAAGTCGAGAGAGAGAGAGAGAGAGTTGTGTTCCAAAATTGCAAACTGCTTAGATAAATAGATAATTTATTCCAACGTGAGCAGAAAATGCGAAGTATTTTAAAAGCCCAGAAAATACTATATATATATTTATATATATACAATCAGCATAACAAAAACAAATTCATAATTTTACTCAATTTGGTCGAGTCAATGTGACCTTAATATATATTAATTAAACGATAACATAATGTTAGCATTAGGAAAATAAGCAGTTTACAGCATATATCAAATGACATAAATCGTACGTAGGCCCGCCTCTCCAAAGATTTTCTACCAAGCTAAAATATTTGACTGATTTTCTACCAAGCTTACATTTTTACAATTACAGTTTTATCCGATAAATAACCCTGGAAACAAGGAGTTCGTCGTCATTCAGCTACTGGAGGTACGTGTGTAGCAACAAAGCAGTCATTTTAATGACTGCATCGACAAAACATTATTTACTATTAAAATAGTAAATAATGTTTTGTCGATGTTATGAAATAAAGAGCATTTTACTCCAATGATATTTATGGCTATTTTCAACAGAGTCTCACCTGTTCTCACAGTCCCAAGAGATATGACAAGACAAAGCGCAGCGTTCAAGTTAACCATGGCTCTTGATTTACAGCATCTGAGACGCAAGAAAATAAATGGTGAAATAATATTGCTAGCGGATAAAATGAAAAAACCGAAATTCAGGAACACACATTACGATATTTTATGACGATAAAACATGAACAGCAATGGTGAAGTTGCCTATTAATTACGAACGGGACAGACTGGTTCATTGACAGTTCTGCTCTACCAGGGGTATCGCTGGGGTGCCTGCTATTTCCCTGAACGTATTTAACCAAGTCCCAGCAATACACGCCATTTCCCTATTTCAGGCAATCTGAATCGATTGTGGACGCACGGCGTTCTCAGTTTTTCATCTGTATTACCTGGAAATCTTTTTATAATGAAATAACTTCATGACGTAATGACATTTCACCGCAAATTATTTCGATTTGAGCAATATTGGCTCTTGGATTTTTATGAGTCAAAATGTTATTTTTTCGTTTATGTTGTAAAGCAGATCGACAATGAATTGGAAAGACGTTTTGGCATTGGAAAGGTATCTCAAATATAAGGCTAAGTAGCATGTATTTAGATGGCTGCATCAAAGTTTTATTATCGTTATTATTCTTTTAAGATTTATCAATTAAAATTTATCAATCTCTTCATTTTACAACCGGACACGTGCTAGGGTAAATCTGAAGGTCGTTAATATTCAGTGATTCTGGGTCAGTGACCTTCAGTTAAGTTCTGAGTGGTTGTTGGCGAGACGATTATTTCCTTATTCTAAAACAAGCACAATTTGTATTGTAGTGTCCACATGGAACACAGTGTTGAACAAGAATGCTTTTTAATAACGTTTAAAAATCACATTCCCTTTAAAAATGTGGAAAAGCTGGTGTTTGTGGACTGGTTTTGTGTGTTCGTTTCGTTATAAGTTCGTAACTGGGATGTTCGTAACTTAGAGTCTGTCTTTACGAAACTGACATAAGATTTAGATCGTAATGCAAGAACCAATGTCACAAGAAAAGGCAAAATTTCCTGAAGACGGATTTCTCCTTATAAATTACACTGAAGAGTAAGTCGAAAACAACCGTTCAATTATCTTTCAAAACACTGTTTATTGTGTATCACAATAACGTGCATAATCCACAAAAAAATGTCAATTTTTACTGGCACATTTTTCCATATCAACTCTTTTGAGAGGGGGGTGTGTATCACATCGTTTGAACGCTGCAGTATATCGTTTTACACAAAAGGAACACAACGCAGGTTTTTAAGAACAAAACTGGTGTTTAAAATTACTTTCTGCACAGCAGCAATAACTAAAATTTTATTTACACACATTTTATCACATAACTTTATACATATATGTATATATGTACAACACAATCGTTATGTAACCTGTAATATATCTACACGCATTACATGTCATTTAAGAAATTTTTTGATATCAATGGTTTGTCTTCACAATGCTGTTAGATATTTTTGATATTATCCTGACACCTACAATGTACTTTTCTGCATCATTGAAATTTGCCAAACACACCTGAGGAAGAATTTTGTTCATCTTTCTGGTTATCGTCTTCATAAATTCATTCCATTATAACTAAAGTTAACAACATGGGAGATAGATAGTGGTAAAAATGCTGTCTACAGCACCAGTGTTTCCAGATCAATAGGATCATAAATGATTTGAATCTAAAGTTACATAGAAACGCACCCTGAGTTACAGATCTGTTAGTCTTACCACAGAACAATCATCACAACCCAGCGCATTTTACATTTTACAGATTGTTTCAATTGACCAAACAAGTTTTCTGGCAGATTCTTGAACACACGAGGTACCTTTTTACCTATGAAGTCATTTTTCCGACTTCAGATATTATGCCTCACAAATGCTCCCGTTTCCCATGAAAAGTTTTGGTCACGTTAATAACTTCTCCGCCAGGATCGCCCGTCTCTCGCGGATCAGGCGCAATATGTCGTCTGCAAGCTCCTCCACGGTGTTAAACCGGACCTTTTGGAAGTCAAACATGTCTTGAATAAAACCCAGAACTTGGCCCTGTTGCATGAAAAATAGAAATAGAAAACATCTTCAACGTGATTCGGTGAAAACGGTGATTTCAGGGCTTCAGCTTGGAGATTTCAAGTGATCTCTATAAATTGTGTAGGTTTAAAGAGCGAGCATAAGCTCGATATGCTAGAGTATCTTTTTTTATTCATGTGATGCTTTCAATGATAAAGCTATTAAAGCCAAGTAAACTTTATCTTTGATTCTTATGTATCAAAACACTAAAACAGCACAATTGATTTTTTTAACTAATGTCAATGGATAAAACTTAAAATGTTTAATAAATAATACGAGAGAAAAAAAAATGATTTAAACCCATATGATTTAAAAAATACCCCTCACTTCCTCCTTATTGACCCTTTGGGATTCAACCCACATAATATTATGTGGAAAAAATATTGTTAAATGGGCATGGGCCACAGACAGCAAATAAAATTAAGTGGAAAGAAGATGGGAAAAACCCTAAATTTTTCACCTTGAAGAAGAAACACAGATTTCCCATTTCCTCCACAGAAAGAAGAGGGTAAAAAAAAACTTAATTCTGTACCTTGAAGAAGAAACACAGATTTCTCATTTCCTCCACTGGCCCCATGAACCCCCAGGCCAGCACTGGGCTGACTGTCTCTGATATGGCATAGAAGTGGGCCATGAACCCGTCTGAGAACTGAAACAGAGGAAAAATAGATAGTAGTACTAGTACATACATATGAGGCTCAAATATATTATTATATGCACAGCTGTATAAAATTGTTTTAAAACAGACAAACAAACAAACAAACAAAAAGGTATTGTAAAATTTACGATGCAATGGAGTGATTAATAACTTGTAAATGTTTGACACTCTAGCTACTGATCTCAGGCAACGCTCCAATTTCTACAAAATATTCTGTAGAATATAAACAACTACCTAGAGTTAATTGTTAATTTCTGGGTAAATCAAAAGTGACACATTTTGCCTGCTCACTACCATTACCACCTCAAATGATGCAGCATTAGTACCACTATGGTAATGAGTTGTATATTACCTCATATTTCTAATGGAAGGCTAATAATACCCATGTGTAGTGTAGATAATAAATCACCAAGCACCCTCTTTCACATAACAAAATGCAGCCATTCAAATCTGTTTTGACTACTTCATTCATAACTGGGGTGTCGCTAGCAATTTTTTCCATTTAGCCAAACTACTACTTTTTCATCGCTTTTTTGTCCAAATGGTTTTAATTTGACTAAAATAAGTCATATCAACCCTATTTTGTTTAGCCAAAGTCAGTAAGTTTTAGCATTTGGCTAAATTGGCGAGTGTTAGCACTACCCCAGCATATTCTGCTTATGCTCCTTTATGTTGTATAGTTATCTGAACAGTTCGGTCTACTTGCCCACTGGACAGTTATGCTACTGGACATTGGTCAGTTACCTTTAACATACTCCTCTTTGCTTTGAGCACTGACCACACAGCGGTGGCCAGAGCTGTCTCTTTAAACCCATTAGACAGCCACCTGTTCTCCATGACGGAGGTCAGAGAGCTGGGTGGATTCTGGAGGTCGTCGAAAGCATCCATTAGGATGAAGTCCAGGGCCACATCATAAAATGTAATGGCTCTCACCTAGAAAGTCAAAAGAGCAAGTTTTAGGTCCAGAAATAGGGTCTGTTTGTAAAATGTTAAATGAAAAATATCACATTTACAACCTGAAGACCTGTTTGGCTGTGCCACAGGTAAAAAAAAAGATGAAATCATGTCTAACCAGAAAAAACAAGGTCAGCGAAATGTGTGTGCGCCCGCGCAGGCACGTGTGCTTGCATGTGTGTGTACTAACCCCTCGTCCCTTCATCAGCTCCTCTTCAACCTGGGCCATGTTATCTGGATTTTTGATATACGCCATCATTTCATCATAAGAAGTGTAAAAGTCTTCTGGATCCTGAATAAAACACATAAATTTAAGCAATTTTAAACTCAAAATAGAAACCAAGAAAACATATATATATATATATATCTTATTCTATTTAAATGCTGTGAAAGCAAATTTTAAACCAATCATTATCCTTTTCAAACATAAGTGAAACAATGAATTTCGTATTTTTTTCAGCAGCTGAGCAATTTTTATTGAGAATGGGCTTGGTGTGTTTGTTGACAGAGGCACTTGCTAAATATGGTTCAAAGAATCAATAGAACCAGTTTGCTGATCTACTTCAGACTGCAAGTTACACTATGCTGGATCTGTTAGTATTTAATAGGGGCACTTTGCTTCTTGTGACATCAATTTTTTAAACAATTCCCCTGGCGATTTTTAAAATGGGCATGTGCCAATCTGTTGGGTATGTCGGTCACCGTCTTACACCGCAATGCAATTTAAGTCACAATATTTATGTGTTTAAGTGGTTACTGTACGAGAGACCTTGTGCCATTGTGTTAGGTGTGACAGAGGTCATTATTGGTGTGACATAACTCATTGTGTTGGGTGTGACGTACCCTGTCAGCCTTGATGAGTATTGAACTAATAAATTCTTTCCCTGTTTCTTCTATCCACTCTCGTATGCTGTGATCTTTTAATAATTCCTGTTGTAATGAAACAAAGACACTCATTTATACTCAACCATTTAAATATACAGATAAAATGGAAATGTAAAAACCAGTTATTGGGGTTTTATTTTTAAATTCAAAATTAAATTTAAAGATTTTAAATTGAAATTAGTAGGAATATTCTGATCATCCTCTTTTCTTTGTCAGCAAATAATTACAATTTAAAAAAATCAATTGCGAAAGATAATGAACAATACCAAAAAATCAATGAAAAAAAACATAACTAATTCCTAAAACCCACCCCCAGGGCCAGCCTGACACAGTGGAGCTTGGCTAAAAACTCTGCATCTGAGCTGCAATTTAATGTTTTTGTCCTGAAATGAACGATTTAGTATATAAATAAAAAATAACATTATATTTACTATCTGCTGCCAGTAATACTTAATGCTCACAACATTGAAATCCTACTACAATTCAATGAAGTGATGAGTTCTAGGCGTCAAGAAAAATGGATTTATTTCACTGTAATTAAAATACAAAATGTTTAATAATTTTTAATTTATTATTATTCAAATTACTCAGAGCATCAATTAGCTTCAAGTAAATGCCATTAAATATATCCATTCCTTCAGGTTCACACCTATAGCAATCTCACCTCAGTGTTCTACATGGAATGCTGCCAAATTTAAGTTCTAAAAGTCCAGCTTCATACAGTGCCCTTTGTTTGTGGTGTAAAGTTCTCAAAGTGTCCAAGTCGGAGAGGTCTGGTGTCTGAAATAATTATATAAATATTTTATGAACAAAATGACTTTTATATTTGCCCTTTTCTACCCACTTTTTTTTCAAAACTCAAAACGTCTCAGAAATAATAAACTAACAATCTTTTTTATTGCTGTTGTTCTATCATTTACTCACATTGCTGTACAAGACCCGTCTTCTCATTCAAATAATATTTCTTTATGAACTTGGCATGACAAAACTGCTGTCAAAAAAAAACCACAAGGATATTCTTTACATTTAAAAATTTTCTGACTCTAATCATGAAGTATTCCCTTTGTACCACAAGAAAACAACTAGACCTCTCACCTCTGCTGCAGAGAAATACGACCCCTCATCTTCATCATCGCTGGACCCCTCGTCACCCCGCGATGCCTTCTGTTTCAGCTCATACTCGCGGTTCATATCTGCCAGTGCTGCCATTGCTGTGTCCAGTGCTGCGCTGTCCACCTGCCGGACAACCGTGCGCTCGTACTCGTCCTGTATACCATACGCCTTGTCCAGCAGGTCGCTGATTTGCTGTCTCAGATCTGTGGCTGATAGTTCCTAGAATAATAAGAAACAAACATCAAGTATTCAAATACTTACTCATTATGCAATTATAAAATCCATTTGAAGTCAATTTTTTGCCACAAAAGCTGACCAAATGCCACCATATAGTTTCAATTAAGAAATATTTCAGTAAAATTCTGAAAGACATAGTTTCATATTAAGTGAAAAATTATATTTGAATGGATTTTTCTGCTTGCATTCAGTGCTGTATATAAATGGGGTCAAACTGACGACCAAAAATTTGAAGAAGGTGCTGTTTAAAGGTGCATTTAATGGCTGATCAAGGGACTAATTTAGTTTTATTCCTCATTGACTATATTTGAGTCGTATAAGAAACTAGTAAAGTTGTTTATATGCATTACTGGGAATTCCAAAAACACTCCAATGTACCTTTAATATTTTAATGTTTTAGAATATATGAGGAAAGAGAATGAAATATTCATAACAGGTTTTTTCCACATGTAGATACTGAATCAAGGCAACAGCTTTGATGGAATCTTCAGCAAAAATTGTACCCCAGACTGAGAAAAAGCATTTACTTCCTAATCATAAGTTCTTCTTTTCCTAATATTTTAACATAAAAAACTTGTGGATAATGTGTATGTGCATGCGTGAATGCATGTATGTGCATGAATACAAACACACTGGCACTTCTCCTACGTCTTCCTTTTATTTTTTCTTTCTTAATTTATTTCTCTCTGATGCCAAGTTGAAACCACAAAATCCTATCACAGGTGTCCAATAACTCACCACCCTCTCCCATCTTTTTAGTAGACTTTGACTCTGGCAGTTTGTATGTAGCAGACATATATCAAAGTAAAATATTAAAAAAAAAAAAATAACAAAAGTGCAACGACCCTCAAAACCCTGCTTGTCCTAAGTGGTTTACCAAAATATTAGAAGTTTTCTAGTCTCACCCATAAAATCCATACAAGGCAGCTTAATAAGTGGTAAAAAGTATAGACGTGATAGAAAAAAACATTATAAACCAGTTTATCTTCATGTCACATCTCCTTCATCCTTGGTTGACCCTTCTCTAGGGTTTTCATCAGACATATCCTCATGACTATCAAGCCAGGTAGCTTCAGGGCAATTATGGTTACCAACTTGCCAGAGATATGTTCTGATGTGTTTTGACTATTGATCTCTTTGATATCTGTTAGTCGTTGATTGCATAATTTAACAACAAAAGATATCTATAAATATAAAGATGTGATGGCCCTAACTCTGCAGCTACAAGTTGGCAGGTGTACACAGGTGAAAATGATATGTCAAAGGGCCACTCCAGGATTTTCCTGCCAAAATGGATTTACCTACTGGTAGGATGAAGAGCCATTTTGTCCTACTCAAGAACTATTGCTTGACCCATCCATGTACTTGTATTTGATGTTTTTTTCCAGCATTCCCGCACTTTTGGCAGTCACGTGAGCGGGTAGTATAAAGTCCCCGCTCAATAATATTCTTTGTAAGTCACATGTCACGTCTTTTGGCAGTCACATGAGCGGGTAGTATAAAGTCCCCGTCCAACACTATTCTTTGTCATTATTCGCAATGCGACGTTAATATGCATGTACAGGACTTAAGAAGGAATAAAGAAGCTGATCCTTATGATATATAGTCGATTTTGTTGTGTGATACTCGGCTACATTCCTCTTTCTTGAAGATCTTTAAACACTGTATTTAATAGTTTCAACACTTCATTTTGATTCAAAGATCTGAAATTACTTGCAAACTAAAAGTTGTTGAATTTAGTATTTAAATGCAAGTCAATATGTTTTCAAAAAAAAAAAAAAATAATACAAGGTACCTCGCTTGGAATGAATAGGAGGTATTACACAAAATCAATTCCTACATGCATCTTCTTGATAGTACCTGCTGCTTCTTAATACCCTTTTTCTTCCCATTCTCATCTAGACTTTAGAATACATTTAGATAACCCCACTAGAAATGCAATGACATAACTCACTATGTGTTCTTGATTCCCATCAACATCGTCCACTTGTTGGTCGACATCCAATTTTTCTAGGGCATCTTCCCAAACTCGGATTGCTGAAGACAGGGACTCCATACCTACAGAATAGATATGATAATAATGAGAGTAATAAATACTGAAAATGAAACAAAATTGAACTTCTGTTTGGTATCATGGCAAAAATATAATGTTGAAATGAAGTACTGAAACTAATGAATCTCCAAAAACTGGCAAATACTAAACATGTCAGGTAAAATATGTTTTGAATAAAAGAAAAACACATCACTAAATCTCACCTGCGCTGCTTTCAACGTATCACCCTGATGCATTAGAACTTATTTTCTCTATTCCAAAACTAACTAATAATAATAATAAAAAACACTTAATTCAACAAAAACAACCTATACCAATAGTGTTAAAACACTTGAGCAGTATCAATAATAATAATAATCACATCCATATTCATATAAATTCAGCAAATTCGGCATCAGTCACTTCTGAAGGTGTTCCAACTACTAAGTTAAGCAAACATCACGCGGTTGTATTTTGTTTATGAGTAAGATGTTAAGGTGATGTATCATCCCCAATATTGATGACAGGGGCCATAACCTTGTACAAGTAGCCAGCAGCTGATCCTTTCCTTACAAGAAACATCTGACAAATCTCGAGTTGTACCTCACACCAAGATTCAAAGATAACACTTTGTACGAGCACAGTCAACCAGGGCTACAGAGAGAATTTCAGGGCACCAGGGTGCCACTCAAACCATTAATCAAACATAGGCACCACCCACTTCTCCAGTGCACCCAGCCATTAAATTGACTTAAAGCCAGCAGCCAATCCTCTTCAGTGGTTTAGCTCCCGAGTCCCATGATTCGGAGATACAACCTAGTTGCACTCTCAATCAGGGCTACAGAGCTAGCTGCAGGGCAACAGGTGATACTCAAACTATTATTCAAATGTAGGCACCACCCACCTGTCCACTTAGTCTTTACTTATTTTGTTAACCAATAGCTGTGACTTTATACAAGCTGTAAGCTCTACCTTACAGAGCTAATAATAAATAAACCAATGCTGTTTATTCATGGATTTTGCAAAATTGTATCAAAATGAAATCTTAAGCAAATGTTTTCTGTGACAACAAACACAAAGATATTTTTTCCTTGGGAGTTAATAAAGTGAAATTAACACTTTTTCTATAAACAAAATCCACATATATCAAACATACAGTTCTAGAAGACTTCGTATTGATCATGTATCTGCTCATCACATCAAGTAGAAGACTTGATCTACTCACCAATCTGACAGAGGTCCTGTGCTGACATAGAGCTGGTGTCTACAGGGACTGGGGTGTTACAGATAGTGGAGTGTGTACTGGTGGAGGCACCTCCCAGGCTGGACATGGAGTTGGACTTGTCTCTCACCAAAGATCTCGGGGACTGGCTTCTCGTGACAATTGCACTGGCTGATTTATTGGGAAGATCTAAAAGAAGAATACCAATCAACTGTGCTAATACATATATACAGCACATTTTGATTCATTATAATTTCATACAAAGAATTAAAATCGTATTTAAAACAAAATACAAACACTATAGAATGGCCCCAGCAATGCACCAGCGAGTGACTTGCTGCTATTATGTTATGTAGATAATTGCGTAGTACAGTAAATAAATTTGGGCAATCTCCTCACCTCCATTGGGACTGAGCACTGGTGCTGGCACCGCTTTCTTCTCCAGAACACCACTGGGTCTTCTTGGAGGTGATGACCGCTTTCTACGACGAAAATAAGCTGCCAGAATTCCCATCAAAGCCACCCCCAGGGTCACCGAGATTACCGTTACCCTCACTGGGAGGCTGATCCCACTCAGCTTGAGGTTACTGAAGTTAGGCATGCTGAGATTGGGGATTCTAAAAACAACGAAGAAGGTAGTGAATGTAATGCAGTTTAATCAAGCAAATTTGCAGCTTCAGATAAATTGCCTAATAAAATATGTATACCCATGTTGACCATTTGTAGTTGATATCACAACACAATGAAGCACAATCGAATGGCATTTGAAAACTTGAGATATTCTAGCTTGAAATATACCTTTTTTGGGTATTTTATCAAAACGAAAAATAAAAATAAAACATGTGTGCAATAGCTTACATCAAAGGAAATTTGGCATTTTGAAATGTGTGCTTAGCCAACATGATGTCAGATATAAAGACAACTTCTCCATTTGAATATAATGACATCCTGTCCTGAGTGGACTTAAAATGACATCACATCCTAAATATCTATAATCAATCACCGATTTTGTGCATCTCTGCTATAACTTCAAGTGGAAAGCAAATTTCTTAAATTCAGCAGGATGATCAGAACAAAAATTACACTCTTACAAAGTTTCAATGCAAACTTACACTTCCTTAGCAATTATGTCACATACTGTACTGTTTCAGCAATAAATAATGTTGGTAATTGACGGGAGTTTCGTTTCAACTATCTCGGGCACATAAACGTTATCACATTTTCTGAGAATGCAGCGTAACCTTCAAAACGGCCTTCAGAAAATAGAGTTAGAAGAAATTGTAGATATTGTTTCGTATCTGCTTTATTGTTATTTTAAAAATAAAAGTTTTAATAAAGCCTATTTCTTTTCAATATTAAATAAAATTAAAAATTGAAAAAATATTTGCATGTTTTGGATGAAACATCAATGATTAAGAAAACAGAATCGCCTTCGCAACTACAATTCAATTCCACTTCAAAACAATGGCCGCGGCAAGCGACGGTCACGCTTTCCCATTCACTTCTCAGGTAAATTGTCGAAGATCCGCTGTAGTTTTAAGGCTAAAATATTACCTGAGATTTAAAAAGATGTATCTGAAGTTAAATCTTTACGCATTTTTTCCATGTTCGCTTAACGGAATAGTAGAGGGTTGTTCTAATGCTATGCCTCAATTTTTCTTAGAAAAGTCAGTTTTCGGCCTTACATGCTACTTATCCGCAGTAAGTGTCTAGCGCTTCAGGCCGAAAATTAAGGCCACTTGTTTGATACGCGATGCATTAACACGCTACAAATGATAAGAAATTTATTAATCATAAATCTACATCATCTCTTTACAAAGATACAATATAACTCAAACACAGTGTTATTCTTGGGGTACATGTACTCGGTACCTTACATGTACATACGGTACATGTGCTTTTAGTGAGCTTTCTGATGTATTTTTTATGCACGCAAAAATCAGGACATTCAGTAGATCAGCAAAATACGTGAAAGACGGGGACTCGCCTTCTGTTTCAAGATACTTCTTAATTGTAGTTCACCCCCCCCCCCCTCCCTCCTTGATGAGACATTTGTTCTAGTACCAGTTAATGAAATATAAGTGTTACAGAACCTCAACAAAATTTAATGGAAACAATCCTTATGCTGCTTCATAATTAAATAAAGCATAGAATTAATTTCAGGACATCAAAACAGAGGTGAAGAACTTCATTCAGGGGTCTTCTACCTTCCGTAACAAGGTGAGCAGTGAGGAGCTGGCCAAGTCTGCGCTGTTCCTCTTGAAGACACTTCCCTCTGCCAGACACGCTGTCCTGGAGCACCTGTGTACTGTGTTTGATGATGCTGTCAACACACACATACTGCACCTAGAGATAGGGTCCAATGTATCAGGTAGAGAAGCCTTATTCTAGTTATTCTAGTCATTTTTATAAGCTGCCTTCTTCAATGAAGATTTGGGGAAATTTCATCACCAAAGTTTCATCACCAAGTCTTCTAGATTGTGAGTGTTTGCCAGGTATTATTAAACCAGTATGGTTATTAGGTGTTTAAGTCCACAAATAAAATAAAGACTGAATCAGTGCACCTGAGAGAGGAGAGGTTGTTGTTAATGGAATAAGTCAAACACGTGGATATAACTGAACCTGAAGTGCTCTGGGAGCGTTTATTATATAACAAGTATCAATAAGAGGGAGCATCCCTTAACATCCTCCTTTTCCCATAAAAAAAAAGAAAAAAAAACAAAAAACAACTATAATAATCACAAACTAGTCAACATTTCAAAATAAACGCAATAACTTGAAACAGTGTAAATGTTTTTTTTTTTTTTTTTTTTTTTAAATCTGAACAAGTCCATATCATATGTTTAATTATGTTCAAAGATCAACTTAAGTCCCTTTCTGGTTTATTTTTTCCTGACTTTGTAATATGGGGCNCATATAAGAAACTAGTAAAGTTGTTTATATGCATTACTGGGAATTCCAAAAACACTCCAATGTACCTTTAATATTTTAATGTTTTAGAATATATGAGGAAAGAGAATGAAATATTCATAACAGGTTTTTTCCACATGTAGATACTGAATCAAGGCAACAGCTTTGATGGAATCTTCAGCAAAAATTGTACCCGAGACTGAGAAAAAGCATTTACTTCCTAATCATAAGTTCTTCTTTTCCTAATATTTTAACATAAAAAAACCTTGTGGATAATGTGTATGTGCATGCGTGAATGCATGTATGTGCATGAATACAAACACACTGGCACTTCTCCTACGTCTTCCTTTTATTTTTTCTTTCTTAATTTATTTCTCTCTGATGGCAAGTTGAAACCACAAAATCCTGTCACAGGTGTCCAATAACTCACCACCCTCTCCCATCTTTTTAGTAGACTTTGACTCTGGCAGTTTGTATGTAGCAGACATATATCAAAGTAAAATATTAAAAAAATAATAATAACAAAAGTGCAACAACCCTCAAAACCCTGCTTGTCCTAAGTGGTTTACCAAAATATTAGAAGTTTTCTAGTCTCACCCATAAAATCCATACAAAGGAAGAACTTAATTAAATACAAGGCAGCTTAATAAGTGGTAAAAAGTATAGACGTGACAGAAAAAACATTATAAACCAGTTTATCTTCATGTCACATCTCCTTCATCCTTGGTTGACCCTTCTCTAGGGTTTTCATCAGACATATCCTCATGACTATCAAGCCAGGTAGCTTCAGGGCAATTATGGTTACCAACTTGCCAGAGATATGTTCTGATGTGTTTTGACTATTGATCTCTTTGATATCTGTTAGTTGTTGATTGCATAATTTAACAACAAAAGATATCTATAAATATAAAGATGTGATGGCCCTAACCCTGCAGCTACAAGTTGGCAGGTGTACACAGGTGAAAATGATATGTCAAAGGGCCACTCCACAGGATTTTCCTGCCAAAATGGATTTACCTACTGGTAGGATGAAGAGCCATTTTGTCCTACTCAAGAACTATTGCTTGACCCATCCATGTACTTGTATTTGATGTTTTTTTCCAGCATTCCCGCAATTTTGGCAGTCACGTGAGCGGGTAGTATAAAGTCCCCGCTCAATACTATTCTTTGTAAGTCACATGTCACGTCTTTTGGCAGTCACATGAGCGGGTAGTATAAAGTCCCCGTCCAACACTATTCTTTGTCATTATTCGCAATGCCACGTTAATATGCATGTACAGGACTTAAGAAGGAATAAAGAAGCTGATTCTCATGATATATAGTTGATTTTGTTCTGTGATACTCGGCTACATTCCTCTTTCTTCAAGATCTTTAAACACTGTATTTAATAGTTTCAACAGTTCATTTTGATTGAAAGATCTGAAATTACTTGTTGAATTTATTATTTAAATACAAGTCACACAATATATTAAAAAAAAAAAAAAAAAAATACAAGGTACCTCACTTGGAATGAATAGGAGGTATTACACAAAATCAATTACTACATGCATCTTCTTGATAGTACCTGCTGCTTCCTAATACCTTTTTTCTTCCCATTCTCATCTAGACTTTAGAATACATTTAGATAACCCCACTAGAAATACAATGACATAACTCACTATATGTTCTTGATTCCCGTCAACATCGTCCACTTGTTGGTCGACATCCAATTTTTCTAGGGCATCTTCCCAAACTCGGATTGCTGAAGATAGGGACTCCATGCCTATAGAATAGATATAATAATAATAATAATAATAATAATAATAATAATAATAATAAATACTGAAAATGAAACAAAATTGAACTTCTATTTGGTATCATGACAAAAATATAATGTTGAAATGAAGTACTTAAACTACTGAATCTCCAAAAACTGGCATATACTAAACATGTCAGGTAAAAGATGTGTTTTGAATAAAAGAAAAACATATCACTAAATCACTAAAACTCACCTGCGTTGCTTTCAACATATTACCTCCCTGATGCATTAAAACTTATTTTCTCTATTCCAAAACTAACTAATAATAATAAAAAAGACTTAATTCAACAAAAACAACCCATACCAGTTGTGTTAAAACACTTGACACTATCAATAATAATCACATTCATATTCACATAAATTCAGCAAATTCGGCATCAGTCACTTCTGAAGGTGTTCCAACTACTAAGTTAAGCCAACATCACGCGGTTGTATTTTGTTTATGAGTAAGATGTTAAGGTGATGTATCATCCCCAATATTGATGACAGGGGCCATAACCCTGTACAAGTAGCCAGCAGCTGATCCTTTCCTTACAAGAAACATCTGACAAATCTCGAGTTGTACCTCACACCAAGATTCAAAGATAACACCTTGTACGTGCACTGTCAACCAAGGCTACAGAGATAATTTCAGGGCAACAGGGTGCCACTCAAACCATTATTCAAAAAGAGGCACCACCCACTTCTCCAGTGCACCCACCCATTAAATTGACTTAAAGCCAGCAGCCAATCCTCTTCAGTGGTTTAGCTCTCGAGTCCCATGATTCGGAGATACAACCTAGATGTACTCTCAATCAGGGCTACAGAGCTAGCTGCAGGGAAACAGGTGATACTCAAACTATTATTCAAACACAGACACCACCCACCTGTCCACTTAGTTTTTACTCATTTTGTCCAACCAACAGCTGTCACTCTATTCAAGCTCTAAGCTCTACCTTACAGGGTTTACTTAGTGAAAAATAGTTAAAACCAATGCTGTTTATTCATGATCTTTTGCAAAATTGTATCAAAACGAAATCTTACGCAAATATTTTCTGTCACAACAAACAAAAATATTTTTTCCTTGAAAGCTAATAAAGTGAAATTTACTTTTTCTATAAACAAAATCCACACATTTCAAACATAAAGAATAAGACTTCTATTTGATTATCTATCTCCTCACCACATCAAGAAGAAGACTTGTATTTGATGATCTACTCACCAATCTGACAGAGGTCCTGTGCTGACATAGAGCTGGTGTCCACAGGGACTGGGGTGTTACAAATAGTGGAGTGTGTACTGGTGGAGGCACCTCCCAGGCTGGACATGGAGTTGGACTTGTCTCTCACCAAAGATCTCGGGGACTGGCTTCTCTTGACAATTGCGATGGCTGATTTATTGGGAAGATCTAAAAGAAGAATACCAATCAACTGTGCTAATACATATATACAGTACATTTCGATTCATTGAAATTTCATACAAAGAATTAAAATCATATTTAAAACAAAATACAAACACTATAGAATGGCCCTGGCAATGCACCAGGGAATGACTTACTGCTATTATGTTATGTAGATAATTGCGTAGCACAGCAACAGATAACAGTAAATAAATTTGGGCACTCTCCTCACCTCCATTGGGACTGAGCACTGGTGCTGGTACCGCTTTCTTCTCCAGAACACCACTGGGCCTTCTTGGAGGTGATGGCCGCTTTCTACGACGGAAATAAGCTGCCAAAATCCCCATCAAGGCCACCCCCAGGGTTACCGAGATTACCGTTACCCTCACTGGGAGGCTGATCCCACTCAGCTTGAGGTTACTGAAGTTAGGCATGCTGAGATTGGGGATTCTAAAAACAAAGAAGAAAGTAGTTAATGTAATGCAGTTTAATTAATCAAATTTGCAGCTTCAAATAAATTGCCTAATAAAATATACCGATGTTGACCATTTGTAGTTGATATCACAACACAATGAAGGACAACAGAATGGCATTTGAAAACTTGAGATATTCCAGCATGAAATATACCTTTTCTGGGTATTATATCAAAATGAAAAATAATAAAACATGCGTGCAATAGGTTACATTAAAGGAAATTTGGTATTTTGATGTGTGCTTAGCCAACATGATGTCAGATATAAAGTTTCACAGACAACTTCTCCATTTGAATATAATGACATCCTGTCTTGAGTAGTCATAAAATGACATCACATGCTCAATATCGATAATCAATCACCGATTTTGTGCATCTCTGCTATAACTTCAAGTGGAAAGCAAAGTGTTGTCAACAGGATGATCAGTACAAAAATTACACTCTTACAAAGTTTCAATGCAAACTTACACTTCCTTGGTAATTATGTCACATACTGTAATGTTTCAGCTATAAATAATTTTGGTAATTGACAGGAGTTTCGTTTCAACTATCTCGGGCACATAAACGTTATCACATTTTCTGAGAATGCAGCATGACCTTCAAAACGGCCTTCAGAATATAGAGTTAGAAGATATTGCACAAATGTTTCGTATCTGCTTTATTGTTATTTTAAAAATAAAAGTTTTAACAAAGCCTATTTTTCTTCATTATTAAACAAAATTAAAATTGAAAAATATTTGCATGCTTTGGATGGAACATCAATGATTTAGAAAACAGAGTCGCCTTCGCAACTACAGTTCAAATTCGCTTCAAAACAATGGCCGCGGCAAGCGACGGTCACGCTTTCCCATTCACTTCCCAGGTAAATTGTCGAAGATCCGCTGTAGTTTTAAGGCTAACATATTACCTGAGGTTTAAAAAGATGTATCTGAAGTTAAATCTTTATGCATTTTCCATGTTTGCTTAACGGAATAGTAGAGGGTTGTTCCAAAGCTATGCCTCAGTTTTTCTTAGTGAAGTTTTCGGCCTTGCATGCCTGCAGTAAGTGCCTGCCGCTTCAGGCCGAAAATTGAGGGAACTTGTTTGATACGCGAAGCATTAACACGCTACAAATCATAACAAATTTACCAATCATAAATCTACATCATCTCTTAGTTTACAAAGACGCAATTCTGCAATTATATCTCAAACACAGTGTTATTCCTGGGGTACATGTACTGGGTAACTTACATGTAGTGTACATGTGGTACATGTGCTTTTAGTGAGCTTTCTGATATATTTTCAAAGCACGCAAAAATCGGGGCATTCAGTAGATCAGCAAAATACGTGAAAGACGAGGACTCGCCCTCTGCCTCAAAATACTTCCTAAATTAATTGTAGTTCACCCCCCCCCCCCCCATTCTTCTTGATGTAGGCATTTGTTTTAGTACCAGTCAATGAAATATAAGTGTTTCATGCTACAGAACCTCTAGTATGTCTCACCAAAATTAAATGGAAACAATCTGTATGCTGCTTCATAATTAAATAAAGCATAAAGTGAATTTCAGGACATCAAAACAGAGGTGAAGAACTTCATTCAGGGGTCTTCTACCTTCCGTAACAAGGTGAGCAGTGAAGAGCTGGCCAAGTCTGCTCTGTTCCTCCTGAAAACACTTCCCTCTGCCAGACACGCCGTCCTGGAGCACCTGTGTACTGTGTTTGATGATGCTGTCAACACACACATACTGCACCTAGAGATAGGGTCCAATGTATCAGGTGGAGTGTCCTTATACGTATATTCGAGTCAATTTTAAAAGCTGTCTTCTTAAGTGAAGATTTGGCAAACTTTTTAGGTTTTATCACCAAGTCTGCTAGCTTGTGAGTGTTTGCCAGGTATTATAAAACCAGTATAAGTCCACAGCTAAAATAAAGACTGAATCAGCACATTATTGCAGGCCTCGTTTCCCTGATGAATCTGAGTGCCAGCAATATTGGCTGCCTTGAAATTCTCATTTAATTTTTTGTTTAGTTTTTGAGAAAGGAAACTGTTTGTTTATTAAAAACATATAGCCAATGAAACTGTTCTACAACAAATCTGCTCCTGTTTAATTGCAAAAAGATTAATATGTATCATTATGATTTTTTGAGTGTTTTTGAGTTGGGGTGGGGGAATGGGGAGGGAGTATGTAAGCTTATTAACATTAAAACAAACATTAACATTAAAACTGTAATGAATGAAGAATTTCAAAATTCCTGCTCCTGTTTATTTCTTAGATACCAGCATGCCTAACCTAGATGCTGTCATACAGGATGCCTGCAGTGTGCTGGTCACATTTATCAGAACTAACCCAGAGGCCTGGGCACCCATCATATCACAGGTAATAAGGGAGAACAGGGTAATAGAATAGGGGACTAACTACTCCGAGGGTCAAATATGGCCGACCCACTTGAATACTTCCCCACAGGATTTCTATTCAGTGTCTATTAGCAGACTAGATGGCAAGCTTTGTAGTGGGTTGCCATGTTTGACCTTCAGACTAGTTAGTCCCCTGTTCTGAATAGGGCCTAACAGTACTTCTGTAGTTACCCAAGTTGTCTTTGGTGTAAGGTCTCCAGAATATCAATTTTTAAAATGTTTTTTAAATTCAATTTATGAAATTTGATTAAATATGATTTTATAATGTTTGGGGTATTTGGAAATTGTTTGAGTTTGTCATGTTCAGAGAGGAGAATAATAAATACAAAGTAACACTAGTATTAAATCTTCTTTAAATGAATTTTTAGACATGAGCTTTTTCCGCAGACACCCGGAAATCCGTTTTTTTTTTTTGTTTTTTTTTTAATTCAGTTCTGATGGTTCCTGAGATTTGTCTTGTCTGAGTTTCCATAAATGTTCAGTTTTTTTTAACCTGGACTCATGTCTGATTTCACTCCAAACATTAAACTCCTTTTTATTTTCTATCATATTTATTTCAGTGACCCATTGGAGCCAGTTGTCTTCCTTTTCCAGCAATGTTTTTGCCTGCACATGAATATCTCAGATTTAAGTGAAGTAAGTAGATTAAAAAAGCCTAATGTGATCATTGCTAATTTCAGTGGTCCATCAACCTATTGGGTCAGATAAGCAGCAAGTACTCTGAGAGGAGGGCTGTGCCCCACTCTGCCAGTCTCAATGAATTATTACAGCTGTGGATGACATGCCTGGCTACCAAGACCCTTATGGAACTGGCATCTGAATGTTTTGCTGCTATGTAAGTATTCGTTTAAGAATTTTGCAGATTTCAGTGATTATGAACCTAATTTTTTGCTTGTGGAATGCTACATACTCTTATTCTTTTATTCAAACAGCTATATAACCTTATGATCATATGTCATTTGTTTAAACACAATCGCTTATTTATTTATTTTATTTATTTATTTATTTATTTTTGTAATTTTTCATTTGTGCAATTTATTTCATATTTTTCTAGAACATCAACTTGTTTTATTTTATTAGGATCAGTGGATCAGCAGATGTTTGTGTCAGTGCATTACTAGAGGCTTCTGTCAAGTATTCTCCACACTTTGACTGGGTTGTGGCTCATCTTGGGTGAGTAAATTTCACAGGCAGAACTCTTAATGTTTTTCATGGGCTAATTACAAAAACTCCTAAAAAAATACTAGTAAAAATAATAAGAAGAAATGGCAATTACAGGTGAGCTTGGTAATGCATTAGAAAGAAAAAAAGTATAAACTGACATTTTAGTAGCTGGTGTTTTAGTGATTGTTATCCATTATTTTGGAACAAAATATTAGTGAAACTAGTGAAACATAGACACTTAGTTCTTCTTACAAAGGCATCATCATCAGGCTGAATGCCCGAAGGTCATTGGGTGTTGGTGAGGGATTCTCACTTGGGATAGTTATTGAAACTTGACTGTTTCACTTATACCTTGTTCCAAAGGGAGTGATAACTGTCACTAAAGCATCAGTTAAAACAACTCCTTGGAAAGATGCACAATCTTATTGATGATATAGATTAGAGTATATCAATATATTTATTTTCCTTGCCCTCCAACCAGCTCCTGCTTCCCACAGACCATCATCACCAGGGTGCTCATGTGTGGCCTGAAGGACTTCTGTTACCATGGCAGCAGCCAATCAGACATGCCATCTTCCGAGAAAGTTCCCAAGATGGCGTCAGTGGTGGGAATTCTGGGACACCTGGCTGGGCAGCATGGCCAGAATATCAGGAAGGCTTTGCTGGGACTGTTTGAGGTAAGAGGAAAACTATTACCCAAGACTACTTCATCTAGATATTTGTATAACTAACTGTTAACAGACTGTTAAGATATTTGTATATTTTACTGTTAGCAGGCACTTTAATGACCGACTGAAAGTGTTTGGCAGTTTTTCGCATCGAAGCTAAATAATGAAAATAACATTGTATAAATGCAGGAATCGGATGCATATGTCCATTAAAAACTAACTCATAGATATGAATTTATATGGAATAAAAAGGAGGTGTGGGTTTGTATGAACATGTTATGTAGTTATGTATCATGTTGAATTATACTCCAGGAAAGCCTGAGGCCTGATGCAGATGCCATGCAGCTGTCCACTGTCCCATTCCTGCTTCAGCTGGCTTCTATGTCCAACATGCTGTTACAGGTGCTGACCACTGATATTGTCCATACTTGTAAGTCAGTTTATGAAGTCACTGTTTTAGCAACTTAGATTACACAAACATGCGAATTCAGCAATGACATTAAGTAACATGTTGATTGTGATGCTCACTGTTTAAATTTACAATACATTAATGAAAGAAACAGATTTTTCAGTAAAAGTCAGAAAATTCATGAATCGTCTGGAAGTACACTTGACTTTAAACAGATAAATTCCATAAGGGAATTGCCAGTGTGAAGTTTGATGCTGTTCTCAGAGGGCATCTTGTTTTGTTATTTATCTGTTTGGTAACACCCTGTTTTAGTATCCACCAGTGCAATGAACAAGTTGTCGAAACAGTTCACTGAGCAGAAATCTCCCAGCATGCAGGACACTGCAGGGTAAGGTCACTTCATAAAGAAAAAATGAATGAGTTTAAATTGCTTAATGGTCCTGCAGCCATTCAGGTGGTGAAGTGATCACATGCAGATTTTTAATTTCAAAATATTACATGAGACAACATTTTTTGTGGTAATTGAGAAATGAAAGTAGTTTAGAGACATTTGTTTTCTTTTAGATTGAGAGTTATGTGTATTAACTAAAACAGTCACAGAAGTGACAATGACTAATGTTCCATATAGATATGTTTTAATACTGCCACTAAGATTTAGATTAATGCTGAGAAATAACAGTAATATAAAACTGTACCCCTGTGTATTTAGATTGCTAAGTCTGGTGGTGCATCTGATCACAAGGAGCAGTGAGGGAGCATACAAGTTGTTACAGTTCTTACTGGACTCTGCAGTGTGGAGTCCAGAGCAAGGTAATTGGAAATTGTGGATTTGATTGTAGTTATGATTTTTCCTGTGAATTAATATTATTGTTTGTGTTGTTACTGTTGTTGTTGTTATTGTTGTTGTTCTTGTTTTTTCTTATTATTATTATCATTTGAGATGTAGGAATACAATTGATTTAACAGTCAGTATGGTGTAATATCACTGTGTCCAAGAGTCTAAAGTAATTTTGGGGATCAGTATCTGCATAGGTTTCAGACTTTCTGCAAATAAATGAACTATATTGAAAACACATCTTTAAAGATCAATTATGATGGATAAAAGGTGCCAAGCTTTCAGCTTGTGGACCTTCTTCAGGGACCAAAATAAGAATCAACCAAAATAAGACTTTTTGCAGTATTCATAAACATATGGATCAGTTTGACTGGACTGTACTTATTGAGATTGTATTGTGCACACTGTCCATCCTGTACATGTGTATTTCAGACTCTATGGACTGTGAAGACCCTCTCTCTGCCAAAGTACGACACACCTGCTCTGTGGTGATGGTGAGTGAAAGATTAAAAGAAAAATAATTAATTAACAAAGATGAGTTAAATCAAAGTATGGGTCCCTTTTAAAAATAAGTATGATTTATGAACTGAAAATTATTAAGTTATAAGCTTACATGTTTGGTTGTGAGATAATTGTATGGTAGCAAAATTCTGCTAAACCCTTCCTTTTATTGTTTTATCTATTTTTTAACACCATTTATAATTTATTTAAAAAAAATTAACAGATGTCAGTATCATTTTTTTTCACACTACATTAGGACCAGTTGGTAATTGACCTACAGCAGATTATCCACAGGAAAGGCAGCAACCCTTCCACTGAGATTCCATTCCTAGCAGCTCTCCAAGGCCACGCAGTACACCTGGCAGATAAACTTATGGCTGACACCAATAGTAAAAGGTACTTTCTTACCTGGTGTTATTTTCCACAGATCTACTTTATATCTGATGGTAGTAACTTGCATTTAAGTATTAACGTATCATGGAATGATTTTCAGCGATTTTTTTCTTGATTGTAATGGTTACTATCATAAACTTAAGGATCTTATTATCAGCTTGACCTACAGCAAAAAAATTTGGATTTTTTTTAATACTTTTTCAAAAAACAAAACAAAGTCAAACTGTTTACTAAAAAGAACATTTAGCAAATTGTTTGATCAGAATAAATGACAATGATATTTTGTTAACTTCCCTGCCCAGGTGTTCTTGGCTGTCCAAGCTGCTGTGTCAGGTGGGGTTGTACTGTGGCATCACCAGTGCCTCCGACATACTCTGCCATATTGTAGTCAATGCCACAGACATGGAAAAGGTGAGTTATACTGACATTCCATTTTTACTGCCTCGGATCTTATGATTACAGTGACACATCTGTCTTCACAGAGTAGATATATATTAAATACTGAAATTTGTACATAAGTGAAACGTGAGACTCACTGCTCTCATGTTTTATATAAAGTCTTCATGTTTTGATATTGACTTTTCTCATTCAGTTGAACATATTTATTGAAATGAAATGTGAAATGGAGACGCGTTTGCCTGATGTCACACCTAACACAATCCAGAAGGCAGTGGAGCGCCTCCAGCCTCATTATGAGGTGGATGTAGCCAAGATGATCCACAACCTGCTCTGCATCGTCAAGTGGGAGAGACAGACAGGATTAGAGTTGGACTCAAACAAGTATGTTCTTTTAGAATGCTGAATCTAAATGAATCTTTTTAACAAAGAAGTTTTTGTTGTTGATAATGTAGGAATTTTCTGTTAATCCTGTAATAATGACAGATGTGCCTAGTTACAAACTTGATGAAAAAAAGATACCCTCATTGAATAAGATGGACAATAGTGCCAAAATCTACATGAGATAGTTTTTAAATTTTGGTATTGATATGCACTTTCTAATTCAAAGTCCTCATTAGTTCCGTGTTTAGCTGCATGAAAAACCATGTGGTTGACTTGGCAACTCAGTTGCTAAGGCACGATGTGAGCATCTCCATGGCAACCATTGAGCTGTTAGCAACCCTGAGGTTAACCAAAGCACTTAGCAGTAGTGTCAGTCTAAAGTTGGCTGGACTGGTGGTCCATTTTTTCTTCAATGCCCTCTTTGAAAAAGGTAAGCAAGAACTACTTGCAGGATAAATCTGAATTTGAGGCAAGAAAATTTACGATAACTTGATATTATACTGTAAAGGATGTCCGTTATAATGCTAACTCTGAAATTCAAGTACCTTTGACAACGTGAAACAAAACATATACATTATATGCCAAAATATTTTGAGCCATGTATGTCTTTTATTCCTCAGGTGGTTTTGTTTAAATCATTTCAGATGCGAGTAAGAAGGGCCATTGCCTAGGTTACTGTAGGAAGTTCATCAAGTGTTTATGCCAGCACCCAGAGGTGAGACAGATGATGGTGAGATTTCTGCTGGAGGCTGCAGTGTCACAGGTAATAAACTGGTGCTAACTTTTCTTATCAAATATTTCTACAGCAAGAGTCAACTTATACGTCCACTCTTATCATCTTACTGTTTATTTTAGACATTTCTGTATTAAGAGAACGAAAACCTTTCAAATATTCCCAGTTCATCATAATCATTGAAGCGGTCTTAGTCCCAAAGCTTATAATTGATAAAAATCATAAGTGATATAAATTTACTGTTTGACTACAATTATTGTTATAATTTAGGAGTATTCTGCTGCTCTTGGTGGGAAGTTTGACCCCTTGACCTCTGCCGAGTCTGTCAAAGTAACTCGTCCTAAGCCAATGATATTGGAAGCCAATAGAAAACACTCTGTGTACATGGCACTGCCTCAGTCACATGCCTCTGTATTCCATGCTGGAGTCATCGGGAAAGGATTGAAGAAACAAATAGAAACACCTTTACTTACCAAGGTTAATAAGTTGTGAAATTAAGATTAATATGTGACCACCCACTTGGTTCATCTTGATGAGATTAGAAAGGGGCATAAAGTAACATGTAGAGACACCAACATTAAATAAATTTTCCTATGATCCACTGCCTTTACACACACCAATTCCAACATATATCTTATAATAATAATGATGTTGATAATGATTAAAATATATTTCATAATAACTGTATTTTCATTGTTCAAGGCTCAGGTGTTTGCCAATAGGCAGTTCTTTTCTGAGGTCATCTGTGACTGTTGTTTCAACCAAGGACCAACTCCCCAGTGTCTGTACCCCCAGTCAGACAGCAGCTCTAGTAGAGACACCTATCTCACTCTGGTCCAGGGGAAACCTGTCAGTGAGCAGACAGAGCAGGCACTGAAGACACTAGCGCTCCTGGTGGTGGAGTTGACAACTATGGATGTGCTGTACAATGGTCTGCACTGGCCAGAGGAGAGATGGATGGAATTCACTGTGGAGAGGTGGGTGTGAGTTTGAACAGGTGGGTGTTAGACGGGTGTGGTTGTGAGGGGTGAGTGTGGGTTTGAGCAGGTGGTTGTGGGGTTTGAGTGGGTGGGTGTGGGTTTGAGCCGGTGGAGCCTACTGTGCTGTAGAGGTGGGGATGGGGTTGGGGAATAGCAGGGGAGTGGGGGTGGAGCAGGGTGGGGAGTTGTCCTGGGGGGGGAGGAAGAAATTTCCTAAAATCATGCAGGGGAGAGAGAGGGCAAAGAAGGTAAAGGATAGGGGGAACTCGTGGAGAAGAAAAAATGTGAAAATCCTCTGCATAGTTTTTAAAAAAGATATTGTAAAGATATAGCTCAGAGATATATATTTGAAAATTAATGGAATTTTTAAAACCCTATTCCTCTAGGAATCTCTTTACAAGAAAAAAGATAGAAGCTTACCCAGTTTTATGGGACATGTTGGACATCATATCATATGGTAAGTTGTTGATTATTAAAAGATGATAAGTTGTCATATAAGATATCTTGGATGCTTTAATTAATATAAGATACATTTTCTCCATTAAGTGGCACAACCTTGACAGCCAGTGTTTTTATCTTTCAGACTATTCTGCCCTTAGTCAGTGTTCCTGTGTACTGCGTGGTATGGCGGCTGCCATGATGGCATTCTGGGAAGGTGCGCGAGACAAGCTGGCCAGCAACACACCCAAGCAGCTGGAGCTCTCATGTAGACTCATAGAAGTCATGGGGAAGGTAACAGAACATATAAAGATTTTTCTTCTAGTTTATTCTAGTTCTTGTTTATAGTGATATATGTATTTTGTCACAGAGTGAATAATATATTTTAGAAGTAAATTTAACTTGTCTTTTTATTAGAGTTTTACCAAGTAAAGTGGATTCAATGCTTTCCGTTTTCAGCTAATGTATTGTTTGCCTTTGAGAAGATTGAAAATTCAATTATTGAATATTTCAGGGTGGCCTCCTTCCTCCACCACTGTCCTATATAGGGGAAATCTTCCCCCTGTTAACTCCATATGAAGTGAACTTACTGCTGTTAAGTGTGTGGAGGTATATGAAGGAGAATCCCCCTATACCTATGATCAATGATGAGGGAGTTATGGATAGGCGTAAGTGGACAGAATTGTTTAAGATATGTCAGGGATTGAGCAAGATCTGTAGTGGAATATTACATTAAGAAGGAAATTGTTTGGTAGCATATAAAATTATACATCATGCAAAGCGCTGATTTTGCATTGTACACCAGGCATTTATAGGTGTTAGTGCAGTTATATAAGACAATCTGTGTGTTAGTTGTGGCATATTTGCAGTGTGTTAGTAGTGACATATTTGCAGTGTGTTAGCTGTGACATATTTGCAATGTGTGAGGTATGTCATGTTTGCAGTGTGTTAGGTGTGGCATATTTGTATTGTGTTAGTTGTGAAACAGTTTTAGTTTATTGTTGTATTGTATCAGGATGTGCTGTATTATGAAATAGTAACCTTTGATTTGTTCTCATTTCCAGCATGCAGCCCTGAGCACACAGAAGTGATCCGCTCCATTCTACACAGTAATATTGGAAAACTGGGACATCTGTACGCCAGGTTCTTCACAGAACACAAAGAGAAGACTTGAATGACACCTGCAAAATAGACATTTGGCTTAAGCTATATGGTTTCAGGCCTATTTATGGTGTCTGTTAAGATTGGAAGTAGAGTTCTACCCATCAGAACTGTGTTAGCATTGTCGGTGCTGGCAAGAAAATATTTTCTAGTCAGCTGTTGGTCAGAATGTTCTTACCTTAATAGGTGGGTATTTATAATATCAAGTATTCAGGGAGTGTCAGGAATTTAGAAAGGGATGTCAAAAGTCCCACCAGTGAGATCTGAAATTGTGTTATTGGAATGTGTGGAGGAAGACCCACAGTGCCATTGTGCTGGAGAAGACGGGCATATTGCGTTAGGTGAGACCACACTTTCAATTGTGTAGAATAACAGTATTGTTACACTGGATGCCAGTGACAAATACACGTGTTTGAAAATGAACAATTCAATACCTCTGAAACTTTCAGTGGAATGATTTTTATGTACTGAGCTGGCAGTTTTCAAGCAGATATTCATAATTTAAAGCCAGGACAAAAATTAATGAGAAAATGGAAATGTATGGATAACGTTTGCAATTAATAAAAAATGCATTTACTCTCTGAAGATGTGTTTTCCTTATCAGTTTATAAAAGCTTCTAAAAGCTTAATGCAATTTTTTAATATTTGCTGATCAAAGCTACATGAAATGCTACTTGCAATGTAGCAATCCTTATCAGAGGAAGGTGGGTATTTATAGCGCCCGCTCTGACTTATTTACACAGTTGAAGTGGCTGCCATCTGGATGTGTATGCGCCACTTACCCGATTCATTTAAGACAAAATGAGCGAATCTTCTGTCGCATAAAGTAAAGGTCTGTGATTATTTACCATTGCATGACTTAGAAGTGCAGTCTCTGCAACATTTAAAACCCAACGATTGTTTGAAAAAAGACTTAAAGATAATTTGAGGAACTTTATAATAACGACATCTGGCAATAAATTTCAATTGGCAACTTCAATATTAAGCCAGACAAATTATTTAGGGTTATATTTTGAATGGGAAAAGGGGATGGTGGTAGGCAGTAAGACTTATTTGCATCTTAAATTATGTTTAGATACTAACCGTTTGACCAGTGGATTTCAAAAGGTCATTACAAAAATACCACATTTTGTTTATTCAATGCGCACTTACTGACAAAACAAAATCGTTTCACGAGAGAAATGGGCGACCCTCACGCCAAAAGGTTAAGTTTGCGGTCATAGCGTTTTTGGACCTGCGTAGGTGTTTGTGAAATATTTGACCCCCATATTAAAAAAAAAACAGTTGTGTAAGTACCTGTGGGTTATAGTCATTGCGCTGTGGAATTTGCCTATTGGCGCTTTGAAACGGGAAAACGTATTGGCACTTAATGCGTCTTTTTTTTCTGAATCACAGTCTGCATTATACGCTAATATCTTCTTCCTGTTCAATTTAGCGCGTTCGTGATTTCTTGGAAATTGAGATCAAGAAATCCCTCCGATCAATTTTTTTCTGTCAAGCAGTATTAAGGCGAGAATATATAAACCAAGCAACTGTGACCATATTTCACTCTCAGTTGTATTGGACGTCACTCGCTCATTAAGTTGCATGCTAAATTGTATTTTATTTAGATTTCTACTTCCAGGGATTCCTCGATCACCAGAATGAAAAAAAAAACATTTCCCCCGAGTATTATTCACCTCGTCTTTTAGTCTGTGTATATATAAATGTAAGGTCATACATACACCTCTATTTTCAGTTTTACACAACGTAAGCCTAAATCAATGTACATGTACCCCCTCCCTTCAATTCACTATAGTCCTCTCTCTGATAGATCTATTTCACTTTTGGAATATTTTTGCTTCTCGAAAATCAAGACGTTTCCGTCTGTCAATCGACTGGTATTTTGCTACAGAACGCCCACATTTCAGAGAATTTCAATCCACTCTTTACGATACTGCACGCACGGATCACAAACGCACCGACTCCTTCGAAATTCGGGGCACCTTGCCACAGCTCGACATAAGCTTTGGAAGTCGCTTACGGTTTTTCCAGCATGACTGAGCTAGGTAGCTTAATGGCAAGACCTTTCTGAACACGACGCAGGAAACACATGTTGATTCATATCTTATGTTCATCTCGGTACATCAAATGCCTGGCAGTGCAAGGGCATGTCTTGAGAGTGTTTCATTTGTTTTAATAAACACCTCAGTTTACCTCTATGAGTATACATTACTTTCTTTCGTGGTCTTGAATCGGGTACGCCTCCCTACCCAGATTCAATTAATGTCTTTTAATTCCGCTTTTCTTTCAGTCCTGTTTTTATCCTTAACGCTCTATTCGCTAACTTTAAATTTATTCTGAAATCTGATAAATTCATAACAGCGAGGGTATTTATGATAAATGCAATCTGATTTTCCCTTTCACACAATAAATCATGACGATAGTATTGATGGTGTTGTGCGCAGTTCTTATGACCATTAGTATATAATATTAAATATTATTTTACTTTAACCCAGCGACCCAAAAGGGGAGTACCACAAAATAAATTTATGTTAGATACAAAATTTTGATAGCTACAGGCGACGTTATATCATAACGAATTAGCCCCCCCCCCCACACACACACACAAACACACGCACAAATTTTTTTATCACGTCAGTCGGAAGCGCGGGGAGCGTGGTGTGATTGAAGAACCCCTCACCCTCCACACACACACACACACACACACACACACACACACGCAAGCACCCGTTTCCTTTTTTTCTGAATGACAAACCTCTAACCTAAAATTTTATTTCCTGCGTGCTGTCTCTGTAATCCAGTACAGTTACCTGACCCTATGGGCCCCGCAAAGCAGCTCGCACACCATTCATCAGTTTTTCTCCATCTACGATTGCAATTCCAACTCATATTATTGCAGTTTTAATCGGTGTCAATTTCTTAGTCTGTCATTAGTTTTCTATTTTTCACCGCTCCTTGATACGCCCCATAGCTATACCCAACAAGATCGAAAGTCACTTCCCACAAACAACATAATTTTTTGTCATTCAACCATTTGTTAAAAACTACAGCAAAGTACTAAATAAAAACAAAAGAGAGACATTTTAGGAATTTTGCATTTTAAATTATACTTATAGCATAAAGAAAAAGAAAGGAGACAGTGATAAAAGACAGTCGGACATGCACGGTCAGTAACACCTGTAACTTGGTCAGTTGCAACAAGAAAAACTGGTCATGACTCGTCAACGAAAAAGATAAACGATCTTTTTAACGGCCGTTTAAGTCCACCTGCAGGCCCGCTAAATCGGATAACGTGAGTAAGACACTAAAACGGGAATGAGTTGAGGATGGAAGGAGGTAGAACGAAGGAAGTTCCAATGTTTCTGAAACATTTTAAAGGTAATGCTTAAATCTTCTACGGATGAGTTTGCTTTGATTGTTGAAATGATCGACGCAGACGTGCCTTCGCTCCTCCGTTCAGTGTTAGCCCTCTGACAGTTCAGATTATCGTATTATATCGATCATCGACCGCCCTCTGTAGCACGTTACTAATCAATCAAGCGTTTCTGAGCTATAACGCACTGTCACGTGACCAAGCTTTACGAGCACCGGACTTTGAAGTGTGGGAATTTTGTGTTTGATTTCCTTTACAGGTTTCAGATAATCCGTCGCCGTGGCGCTGTGCAGATGTCTAAGACGGAGGGGAAAAAACGAGAGAGAGAAAAAGAGAAAAAAGATGGGGAAAAAGAACAGCAAAATGCTGATACCTTTAGATGTGCTGGTGGAGCTTCAAGAACGAACCTATTGTGAGTAATAAGAGCAGCGACTTCGATGTTGTATCAATCGACCGGTTATTGATACCGTAGGCGGTCCATTTCTATAACTCTGATGTTTACCTAGGATTGCGTCATTCATGTTAAGAATAACAGACTGTTTTTTGCGTCAATACACAAGTGGACAACTACAAGTAGTAGCGATATCGATGTTAATTTGATCACAGTTAAATTTTTTATTTAAATAACTAGCCTATAGATTTTAATAATATTTCATTAAAGTATATAGAAACTCTTTAACCTATCATGTTTCTTTTTATTTTAGTTAACGAAACGGAATTAGAAAGTTGGTAAGTGTGGACACATATTTGCAACAAAATAAATATATTCTTTTGTGATGGAATCCTAATTGTTCACTAATTAGTAAAACCAATTATAGAAACATGAATTGACAATTAGAATGTGCGAGGTAAAGCTAAGACCTGTTCAGATGGGGACATGAATTATAGATTATATGTGTATCAGTGGCATTCTTCAGAGAACTGAAGATATTGATCTATTGTTTTAGTACCAATATGCTGGTATGTCAGGAGTTATATGTAATCAATAATACATGTAACAGCATGCTACCTATAGGCTTTGCTACCAGATATTGATATTTTGTATTAGCATTTATAGGTGTTATATTTCTGATATCTGTTAATCACTGATTGTATGTTTCTCTTTCATTTCATCCTTTCTTCCTTCTATCCTTCTGCTGCGCTCCCTCTTTGTTCTAGTTTTTTACTCTCTCTCTCTCTGTTCTTAATTTCAGTTTGTAATAGTGGTTTCAGTCTGTTTTACCCCCCCCCCTCTCTCTCCCTCTTCTCTCTCTCTCTCTCTCTGTTCTTTAGTTCAGTTAGTAATAGTGGTTTCAATCTCTTTTATCTCCCCCCCCCCTCTCTCTCTCTTTCTCTTCTTTAGCTCAGTTTGTAATAGTTGTTTCAATCTGTTTTATCCTGTAGGTATGCCACATTTAAGAAGGACTGTCCTGGGGGCAAGCTCACAGAGGAGGTGGGTTATTGCAATACATTAATTCATGTATATAAATATAAATATAAATGTATAGATATTCAGAACATAACATATTTTACATAATTTTGTGCAAATCTGTACTTTTTTAAACAGTGTAAGCTTTTTGGCACAGAGATACAGAGTTAATAATAATGGGTTTTGCACAGGGTTCATTCAAGCACATAACTTTTATCATTAAAAAATTAATAACTAAAAATTCAAAGTCAAACTTTTGATCTATTTTTAATATATTTTTATTTAAACTGAATAAGTTTTAGTATTTTAAGCATAGATGCAAAAGAAATAATCTCATCATGTTTGGAAGTTTCAGCTGAAATATTTCTTATTTTAAATGAATAGTTTAGTTTAATAGATTAGTGGTTCAGCCATACTGTAGATGCAAAAGAAATTATCTCATCCACATTTTTTTTTTGTTATTTTATTTTCACAAAGGGACATGGTTTTGCTCAAGCTTTTTGCTTGCAAGTTTATGTCAGACATAACTTGATAAATTCAGAATTTACTTCACTCTGTGAATTTTCCTCAGTGTCTCTGGAGACAAAGCACATTTGAAGAAGGCCGTATTTTCAGACAGCGTTAAGAGCAATTGTAATCAACACATTCTGCTTATCTCATTTGTCAGTCTGAAGATGCATTTAACCTTACACTTTAAAACTCATCTTCCATGTTCTCTCTTCTGGAGAATAATATTTTTAAAAATAGAACGGCTAAAACAAAAATAAAACTTTCTGCCCTTGGATAGAATATGTTACCTGTATTAGGCATTTTTTGCCTATAAACATCTCACATGTTTGATAAAACAAATAATTCCATTATCATGTACAAATATATATGTATTTATGTAAAAGAAAAAAAATTGAAAATAGTATAGAAATTAGAAAAAATATGGAAAAATAATCCCCAGATTTTTCAGATGCCATCTCTCTTTTGCTCTTTCTTTCTATTTCTCTCTCACACACATACACAAATCTATAGCTCAAAGATGCACATTTGTACCGTCTGTATCAATTTAGAGAATAATGCCTTGTAAAAGTCAGAATATTGTTTTCCTAGGAAGATATCTAAGTCAGCAGAACTGCATAATTCAGCTGTGAATCGATGTGTTCAGTTTTACCAACTTCTGTGTCCACACCAAGGAGAAATCAAGGCCACATATAACAGTAGCTATATATTTAACAGTCTGTGGCAAGACAGGAATCCTTATTGCAATATATTGCCCTTGTTTGCTTCCTTATTTTACCACTTAGATCAAAGAAAACCATACCATTATCGTTCAGTGGAGTAAGTTGAATTTAATGCCTTCTTCAAGTGCAATATATCTTGACCCCGAGGCGAGGAAAATGTTTGATACATTGATACAGGCATATATTCACTCAGGTGATGTTACAGGTATGTTTACCCCCTGTAATGGCTGAGTTCTGTTCCAGCAGGTGATATGGTGTTTGTATTACTCATTTGGTCTTGGTTTAAGTGTTAGGTGCCTCTGGTTTATGACTAGGGGTAGTCATTAAACATGTAAGAGTAGGTTGATATGTAGGGGCAGTGTTACAGGGGTTATGTACAGTGTAACTGTTAGACTGATGTTTTCTTGACATGGATTATGGACATGGATGAAATGTTTGGAAGCCAGGTCATTGAGTAACTGCAGTAGCGAAGTAACAATCCCAGTGGGCCATAACATTACAATTGTGAAATTCCTATTTTAGTAGCATAATAATATTATAAAAAATTATCAGAATTGGAATTTCATTCACAGTGTGAGGCTTATCAATCACAATATTCCCTGTTTCAGTTTAGTAGGACTCCGATTTAAATGCAGAGCAGCGTAACTTAACACCTGATTGGTCAGATTTGTAGGTGTTACAGAGAGTCAAGCAGCAATAAAGAGAGTCGATCTGGCTTACAATGAAAGTTTTTTAAACATGAATTAACAATTAACAATTACTGTTTAACACAAGGAATAATCTTTTTTTGGAGTTTCAGCAGTTACTGCAGTTTATAAAGACATACATATGATATGTATAAATCTGTTTTTGAGCAAAGTAAAAAGGTAAAAAGTTATCAGTAATTTTATTGCACTGAAATTTTAGTTGACTTGAAAGAAATGTACTTGCCTGTTCAATACTCTAAAGTTGTGCTCAAAAACAAATTTACTGATAGGCATGGATATACTCATCCTTTTCAAAAATATCCAATTTTTTGTTGAAGAGATATTGAAAAAAATTCAGGGAGTTCCATTTTAATTTTTTCTGAGCAACTTTCTATCATATACTTAGGCTGAGGGTTAAATCTTTTCAAATGTCTGAACACATTCCATCTTTACCGCCTTAGTTAAACTGTATGTGTAGAGCTGTATGTGTAGAGCCTTCATAAAACATCCCATGGTAAAAGTGAATTAGTGATCAACTAGTTCAGGGCAATTAAGACACTATAGCAATATATTTCCCTTAAAACTGAAAATATCGATTTAATATTATTTTCTCTTTACTCATGCCCAATCCTTGCAATGTGCTTGAGTGATGAGATGTTTGCGGTCTTCGTAGAATTTTTTCATTCTGATAGCAAATCCATGACAAGATATACATGTTTTTCATTTCAACTGCAACATATGTGGGTTTGAGCTTTAACTTCTCTTCCTTAGTATTCCCAGTAGAGTGAGATGTTATGGAAAGCACTCAACTTGTATGACAAATGTCTTTGCACTGATTATGAGGGAGGATTTATCACAATTCTAGGTGATTTCACTTCAGCTGATCACTTGCTGTCTGGTCTACGTACATGTTATAATGTGTCATTAACAGATGGCTCATCTCTTTGATATGGTATTGAAAATTGGGCTTAGTTCAGACATGGGATTTATTTGAAAATCTTTTTATTTTTTAATCTCAGAGCTCTTGGTGATATTTCTAAAAAACAGCAAGACAGCTAAAGCTGACAAATGTACAGACAGCCCATGTCAGTTATAGACTATTAAAACAAATGCACCTGTAATTAAAGCCATTCTGCACAAGATTTTCCTGCCAAATCTAATTTTCCTAAAAAAATATGAAAAGTAAAATTATGAATAAATAAAGAAATAGATAAGTAATTAAAGCTCCTCTCATGAATCATAGCTAATCTTGCCCCTGCACTTGGAATGTTTTTTTTTTTTTTTTACTGTATCTTAATTATTTTGATTTTCGCCTGAAATCATTAGATGCCAAAGCAATATGAGCTAGGAATAATTAGTTCATGTCCCTTTTCTAACTTAGCCTGCATTAATAATTCCGGTGAGTTTAAAACAAAACAGCAACACTATCATTTCCTCCTGAGTTATTGAGGCTACAAGAAAAGTGAAAGGAAGCTGCTTTGGCGTCTGCTTTGGCTTCCTCTCCAGTTCTGGAAACGGGTACAGATTCATGTGATAGGACTTACAATGCCTTAATTAATTGACATTATAGCCTCTATGTCTGTACATGAAATGTACTCATGAATCAAAGAATGTAGTACTCTATACTTTGTAATCAAATAAAATGCTGAAATGTATTTTTTGTTTTTTCAGGGTTTCAGAAAAATCTACCAGCAGTTTTTCCCATATGGAGATTGCACCAACTTTTCTGCTTTCGTTTTCAAGGTCTTTGATGAAAACAATGTAAGTTACTGTAATAAAAGCTCAAAGTCAAAACATTACGTATGTCAATGTCTCAAAGACTAATGGCATTATAATTATGCAGTAGAGCATGGCATAGGAAAATGCATTTTTCTTGTCAGTTTGAGGCAGTCAAAAACTAATGTTCTCCCAGAGTTTTTTTTTTTTTGAGAGAGAGAGAGAGAGAGAGAGAGAGAGCAAGAGAGAGGGGGCGCTGGATAAGCCATCAGCTTCCAAATGGGAGTACGAATTTGTCTTTGCTAATGGACTGTATAATTAATCACCAGTATCTGTATTCCCCCATTAGGTACTAGTATTGCCCAATCCTGTTATTGAATGACGTGTAAAAGTGACAAGATGTCCTGTTTTGGCAGGACCATTACACACAGTCACAACAGATAAAACCTTTCACAGACATTTGATAAATGCTGGTATTTAAAAGTTGTTCTGTTATGTCTGGTGAGGGTTCTTAGTAATATTGTCTCCAACTCCAAACAAAAAATCATAAATCATTTGCATTGCCAAGTTTGATTTTTTTTCAAATTATTCCCCAATCACTGTTAACTGTATGGCATTTATATATCAAAGGCTTGCCTTTTGTACATAAACTGTACTGTACAAGATATAAAGAAAACAATGAAGAGGGCTGGCTGAGTCTATAGACAGGATATAAATATACATTGGAATTAAAAATATCTGTTCCATATCTTTACCAAAACTGAACATTTTGCATTGGATATTTCAATTATTTGTGTACTTTATCTGTTCTGGTTGAGAGACAGCTCAGGCAGCTTGAGTGGTAGCAAGGGGAACAAAACAGCTGCCAAATTTGTATCTTCTTCCATCTTAAAAAGGAGATTAGAAGATCTTGTGAACAGTAAAAGATACTTTATCTGTCAGGAGGTATCTTTGCGGTTCTTATCCTGTGGATTGAGACTTCAAGGAGCCAAGTTCACACAGCAGTGAGGAACTCTTTGGGGCAACATGTTTGACAGCAAATGATATGTTTGAATTGCTTATGCAGATATACAGGGGCAGATTTAGGTCGTCTTCTGGGTCTTCCAGAAGACGGTCAGATTTTCAAGTTCAGATTTTCAAGTCTTCTGGGTCTTCCAGAAGACGGTCAGATTTTCAAGTTTACATTGACGGGTATCTATTTTTTCTGTTGGAAGATGGTCAAAAATGGAGGATGGATCAACAAAGATAATTTGGAAGACTGTCAGAAAATATCTCTGGATCCGCCCCTAGATATACTTGATCTTACCAGAGAGGTTAACAGCAAATTATTCTGATAAATAGCCTGTACTGATTGCAGCCATAACCTGTTGATAGTTTTTCAAATAACTACCTGGCTTAATTAACACATCTGAATAAAAAAAAAAAAAAAAAAAATATATATATATATATATATATATATATATATATATATATATATATATATATATATATATATATATATATATATATATATATATATATATATATATATATATATATATATATACGTATAACTGACATGCTGAATTGCTTCACCAAATCAATGAAAGATATCAACTAAATGTTTTAACAGCATCCAGCCAAAGACAGGTACACCTTAAACCTGATATGTGTGAGACTTAATTCTTAAATTTTTTAAAGAGTTTGTTACCCTGCTTGTTAGTTTATCATTGGGTGATATGTGTGACTGACTGCGCTATCTATAGCTAAATAGTACTTCATATAAATCAATACAGGGTTGTTTTATATTTTAATTTTGGCATTTCCTCCTTGTTACTTTTATTGCACCATGAATCTTCACATTTGACATGTCACTTTGGGTGTCTGGGTGTTTAACAGGGAAAAATTCCTCAATTCCAAGAATAATCAATACAAACCATTTCCATAGAATCATCTCAGCACATCATCTCACTGAGGGAGACATTTCTAGGAATGTTTCCCAATGATTTTCTCAGTAAGGTAGCAATGATCAGTTGTAAATGTATATACATGTTCACACTACAAATATTAATGGTCAGAATGTAAATTAAGCCCTCAGTCAGAATCCGAACCCAGGTCGTCTCATGAAAATTAATTGCATTTTCTTGGTATCATTCCCTATTCTCATTTCAAACCATCAGGAACATAACAATGGGAGAAAATAATACTTCCTGAATATCTGAAAACAGGGTTTTATTTATATTCAGTATTTTTGAAACAATCATCTAAGTCACTGCTTGGTGGCAGTTGTTTGGAAAGAATTGTTGGGGTTCAAGCTGTGATGATAAATTGTCAAAACGCATCGGCTTTAGAATTTTTGTCCGAGAGATATTTACAAGCTGGTGTGGAGATATAAAATCATTAATCATATTCTAGTTGCTGGATTCCAATATTTTTATTACTTTCATACCCTAACCCGTACTGTGTTTGAAAGGTGTACCAATTCAATACTCCTTCCAAGCGTGACTAACTACAACATTCTTAACCTTTGGAGTTGATCTTCAAAACTTCTACATGTGTGGCATAGCTGGTTCTATCTGCTGCTCCTAATAAATTGGGCGTCTGGCAGTGACGTTGTTTGTAGTAAATCATAGTTATTTTTGTGGAATATTTGATTTTATGTATGTGTCATTAAGATTGGCATTACAGCATGTGGTAGCTAGAAGGAGTCATATACAGGGTGAAAGGAATCTTAAAAGCAGGAGCTACATTGTTTTATTCTTATAGAGACTTTCCAATCATTTTATTATAGCTTGGGAAGATTTTGTGTCTTCTATTTGGGTGATGACTAAAAAAAAAGTAAAAAGACCTTCTTACCATTGAAAAGCATGAGAGTGTAAAAGAAATTATGGTTTTGACTATTTCAGCTATAATATCCACCCCTTTTCCAGTCCTCCTACTCTTGAGTTACACAAGGGGTAAATTTCTTGCCTGATCTCTTGCCCTAGAACTCAGCGGAGGCTATATTTTGTTTTTAAGGATTCTGCTTAACTATACACACCTGAGACCCACACCTGAATATTTGACATTAAGGTGTATTAACATGACCACCTGCTCCCACAACATGTGTATACAATAAACCAAACATGGACACGTTAAGTAGTATAGTGACGTATATCCTGGAATTTCTAGCTTCATGTTCAGGTATGAATTCGTATGAATTATCTCATGAGTGATGCCAAACCAGTGTTATACCTTGGAAAAAATGATTTAAGTAATGAGAGAGAGTGAGAGAGAGAGAGGAAAAGTTTCATATGAAAAATTGAGGTTTTGAAAGATGAGGGGACAAGAAAATTTAGTATATACCAGCTCCTACTCTCTATTTAATGGTATCGTTTTTACCATGATTGCAACCCATTTAATCATAATCTTACAATGAATAAAATAATGAAACTTTAAAGAGAAATATGCAAACTTGAATTAAGTTACATGTATTTATCGAACAAAATGCCTTTGGCTAATAAATTGTATATTTCTGAGTGGAAAGCAATGGTGAATATAATTTGGACAAAATTTTCATCCTACAACAGGATCACACTTCATGATTCTAGATAAATTGTTCCAGAAGTTTTATTCCTCCCAAAATTTAGGAATAGAGTTTGGGGAGAAGTTTGTTTGAAAAAAAAATGTTTCTGGCATCACAGACCCATTTATTTCCCTTAAGCCCTAAGTAACTATTTTTTTAAGTGAATCAGTTATAAGGTTGATANTTTTTTTTTTTTTTTTTTTTTTGAGAGAGAGAGAAAGAGAGCAAAAGAGGGGACACTGGATAAGCCATCTGCTTCCAAATGGAAGTACGGATTTGTCTTTGCTAATGGACTGTATAATTAATCACCAGTATCTGTATTCCCCCATTAGGTACTAGTATTGCCCAATCCTGTTATTGAATGACGTGTATAAGTGACAAGATGTCCTGTTTTGGTAGGACCATTACACACAGTCACAACAGATAAAACCTTTCACAGACATTTGATAAATGCTGGTATTTAAAAGTTGTTCTGTTATGTCTGGTGAGGGTTCTTAGTAATATTGTCTCCAACTCCAAACAAAAAATCATAAATCATTTGCATTGCCAAGTTTGATTTTTTTTTTCAAATTATTCCCCAATCACTGTTAACTGTATGGCATTTATATATCAAAGGCTTGACTTTTGTACATAAACTGTACTGTACAAGATATTAAGAAAACAATGAAGGGGGCTGGCTGAGTCTAGACAGGATATAAATATACATTGGAATTAAAAATATCTGTTCCATATCTTTACCAAAACTGAACATTTTGCATTGGATATTTCAATTATTTGTGTACTTTATCTGTTCTGGTTGAGAGACAGCTCAGGCAGCTTGAGTGGTAGCAAGGGGAACAAAACAAATGTCAGATTTGTATCTTCTTCCATCTTAAAAAGGAGATTAGAAGATATTGTGAACAGTAAAAGATACTTTATCTGTCAGGAGGTATCTTTGCAGTTCTTGTCCCGTGGATTGAGACTTCAAGGAGCCAAGTTCACACAGCAGTGGGGGACTCTTTGGGGCAACATGTTTGACAGCAAATGATATGTTTGAATTGCTTATGCAGATATACAGGGGCAGATTTAGGCCGTCTTCTGGGTCTTCCAGAAGACGGTCAGATTTTCAAGTTTACATTGACGGGTATCTATTTTTTCTGTTGGAAGATGGTCAAAAATAGAGGATGGATCAACAAAGATAATTTGGAAGACTGTCAGAAAATATCTCTGGATCCCTAGATATACTTGATCTTACCAGAGAGGTTAACAGCAAATTATTCTGATAAATAGCCTGTAGTGATTGCAGCCATAACCTGTTGATAGTTTTTCAAATAACTATACCTGGCTTAATTAACACATCTGAATAAAAAAAAAAAATATATATATATATATATATATATATATGTACGTATAACTGACATGCTGAATTGCTTCACCAAATCAATGAAAGATATCAACTAAATGTTTTAACAGCATCCAGCCAAAGACAGGTACACCTTAAACCTGATATGTGTGAGACTTAATTCTTAATTTTTTTAAAGAGTTTGTTACCCTGCTTGTTAGTTTATCATTGGGTGATATGTGTGGCTGACTGCGCTATCTATAGCTAAATAGTACTTCATATAAATCAATACAGGGTTGTTTTATATTTTAATTTTGGCATTTCCTCCTTGTTACTTTTATTGCACCATGAATCTTCACATTTGACATGTCACTTTGGGTGTCTGGGTGTTTAACAGGGAAAAATTCCTCAATTCCAAGAATAATCAATACAAACCATTTCCATAGAATCATCTCAGCACATCATCTCACTGAGGGAGACATTTCTAGGAATGTTTCCCAATGATTTTCTCAGTAAGGTAGCAATGATCAGTTGTAAATGTATATACATTTTCACACTACAAATATTAATGGTCAGAATGTAAGCCCTCAGTCAGAATCCGAACCCAGGTCGTCTCATGAAAATTAATTGCATTTTCTTGGTATCATTCCCTATTCTCATTTCAAACCATGAGGAACGTTGGGAGAAAATAATACTTCCTGAATATCTGAAAACAGGGTTTTATTTATATTCAGTATTTTTGAAACAATCATCTAAGACCCCATTTCCAGAGATTAGATCAATCTACTTTAGATCGACCTAACTCCTTTGGGGTTCACGCTAAATTGCAGTCAGCTGAGCTTGCACCATAGTTAATTACCCCCTTACAGCTTGTAGTAGGCGGCACAGACATTTAAGCCGGATTATCTGACAGTAATCTAGTGAGACTCCCCACGGGATAGATCGATCTAAAAGCTCTGGGAATACAACCTAAGTCACTGCTTGGTGGCAGTTGCTTGGAAAGAATTGTTGGGGTTCAAGCTGTGATGATAAATAGTCAAAATGCATCCGCTTCAGAATTTTTGTTTGAGAGATATTTACAAGCTGGTGTGGAGATATAAAATCGTTAATCATTCTAGTTGCTGGATTCCAATATTTTTATTACTTTCATACCCTAACCCGTACTGTGTTTGAAAGGTGTACCAATTCAATACTCCTTCCAAGCGTGACTAACTACAACATTCTTAACCTTTGGAGTTGATCTTCAAAACTTCTACATGTGTGGCATAGCTGGTTCTATCTGCTGCTCCTAATAAATTGGGCGTCTGGCAGTGACGTTGTTTGTAGTAAATCATAGTTATTTTTGTGGAATATTTGATTTTATGTATGTGTCATTAAGATTGGCATTACAGCATGTGGTAGCTAGAAGGAGTCATATACAGGGTGAAAGGAATCTTAAAAGCAGGAGCTACATTGTTTTATTCTTATAGAGACTTTCCAATCATTTTATTATAGCTTGGGAAGATTTTGTGTCTTCTATTTGGGTGATGACTAAAAAAAAAGTAAAAAGACCTTCTTACCATTGAAAAGCATGAGAGTGTAAAAGAAATTATGGTTTTGACTATTTCAGCTATAATATCCACCCCTTTTCCAGTCCTCCTACTCTTGAGTTACACAAGGGGTAAATTTCTTGCCCGATCTCTTGCCCTAGAGCTCAGCGGAGGCTATATTTTGTTTTTAAGGATTCTGCTTAACTATACACACCTGAGACCCACACCTGAATATTTGACATTAAGGTGTATTAACATGACCACCTGCTCCCACAACATGTGTATACAATAAACCAAACATGGACACGTTAAGTAGTGTACTGACGTATATCCTGGAATTTCTAGCTTGTTGTTGGTATGAATTATCTGAGTGATGCCAAACTAGTGTTATACTTTGGAAAAAATAATTTAAGTAACGAGAGAGAGAGAGAGAGAGAGAGAGAGAGAGAGAGAGAGAGAGAGAGGAAAAGTTTGATATGAAAAATTGAGGTTTTGAAAGATGAGGGGACAAGGAAATTTAGTATATATCAGATCCTACTCTCTATTTAATGGTATCGTTTTTACCATGATTGCAGCCCATTTAATCATAATCTTACAATGAATAAAATAATGAAACTTTAAAGAGAAATATACAAACGTGAAGTTATATGTATTTATCAAACAAAATGCCTTTGGCTATTAAATTGTATATTTCTGAGTGGAAAGCAATGGTGAATATAATTTGGACAACAGGATCACACTTCATGATTCTACATAAATTGTTAAAGAAGTTTTATTCCTCACAAAATTTAGGAATAGAGTTTGGACAGCAGTTTGTTTGAAAAAATGTAATTATGGTTTCTGGCGTAACAGACCCATTTATTTCCCTTACGCCCTAAGTAACTATTTTTTTTAAGTGAATCAGTTATAAGGTTGATAAAAAAAAAATGAATTATTATCCCGATTTCCAGGCAAAGAAATTAACTTTCAAGTTTTTGTGTGAGTTTTACATTATGGAAGTGAGCTAAAAGCTTTTTGATCACAGATAAATTAATGGATTTCAGCTCTTCAGGGTGTGTTCACTATTAATATATCCTACTAGCTGATCTGTTACTCAAACTGCATTCAGCCATAGTTCTCACAGAGTTCGTTTGAACTACTTAGTACAATAGACTCATTGTGAATGTATCCTAATTCTTGTGTTCTATTTTCCAGGACAATCAAATCGACTTCAAGGAGTTCATCTGTGCGCTGTCTGTCACATCCAGAGGCAGTCTAGATGAAAAACTGGAATGTAAGGCAGATATATTATTTATCATTTTTGCATTCACTTTTTATGTACTAAAAAGAAGTTCATGGAAGAGTGTGCATATAGGGTCTAATCCAAGAAATTTGAAAAAAGAGCATTTGTATGTTGTCATATGTATACACAGTTGCTGAAAAGTTGGTCCACCTTTAACTTTTTTGTCATTTTGGGGTAGTTTATTTTATATCTTCAATACTGAGATTATTGTTTGTTGCACTCTATTCAGTAACTAGTCTAAATTGACACATGTTAAGCCATATACGTATTGGCAATTTTCAGAGGCCCATATTAGCTATAATTGTTGCCATAACCATAAGTAGTACATGGGGTCTAAAAGTTAATACATTTCATTTCAGATTTTAGTTTACGTGTATTGAAAATAGATACAAATTTAAAGCAAAGTTAACATATTTACATGTAATTGTTTTCCAGGGGCTTTCAAACTGTATGACCTGGATGGGGACGGCTTCATCACGAGGTCGGAAATGTTGGCTATAGTAGATTCCATATACAGTATGGTGGTAAGTAAAGGTGGACCAGGAAGTCAATTATCTACCGGATCATGATTACATAAAATAAATATATACAATAATTGCTCTAGCTTGAGGCAATTGCCTTGTACCATATGTACCGGAGCAGATAATAAAATTAATGTTGCTGATAAAGCCGCTAGCTGACCCTCTTTGACTTTTTAGGGATCCCGTCTCCCCACCACCCTCCCTTGGTTATCATTCAATCTTTGACATAATGATTTTGACTGATATATAAGCTTAATACATAGATTGGAGGTTTCCCACTTTTGACACATGTACAGAGATTGAAACAACAAAGTGTCTGGTCACATCATATCAACATTATGTTTTGATAAATCTCCATATTTGAACTGTATCCAATCTTAAAAAAAACAAAAACAAAAAAATTTGTACCTCTGGGGAAGGTGCCGTTATTTACTCATCTTGGGAGGTGGTGAAGGGTGTTCTTAGGTTGTGTTTGATTTATGTTTCTGTATAAATCATATTAACTTAGAGGATGGTTTACATTTCTGTATACAATATATAAACTCAAAGGATCAATGATCTGAATGTTTGAATTGAAATTATTTTACCTCAAAGAACCGTTTATGTCATTTGCCCATTCTCTCCTCTCCAGGGTAGTCAGGCCAAGCTCCCTGAGGAAGAAAACACTCCAGAGAAAAGAGTAAACAGAATATTCAGTGCCATGGACAAGGTAAGAATATTAAAATTTTGCAAGACACACAACGGCATATATTATTTATCTTTGGCCATTTCACTGGAATTTTATACTATCTGTCTTGATCAGTACGTGGAGTCCTGTGAATGTACTAGTAGCATAAATGGGTTAAACCACCACTGCTTTGTGTGAAAATTGGATACTTTGAAATCTGTCTTTTTCTTTTCCAGAACAGAGACAATTTATTAACAATGGAAGAATTTCTGGAAGGGTGCAAAAATGATCCCACAATTGTCCAAGCACTGACCCTCTATGATGGCCTCGTATGACACAGTGAAAAGACGTCTGGGACTGCCTGTACCTACAGCACTGTTAAGGCGCAAAATGTCATACATGTAGATCAGACATGATTTTGGGTTGTAAGAAAAAACTAGGAAGAAATGGTTCATCAGCCTTTTGACCAGTGATCAGAAGCTCAAGTCAGAAAACCATCAAGAAAAAATTGGATTTCCCATTTAGATCCGTAAAAAAATCAAGTCTGGTTGATGGATATCTCTTTGTCAATGGGATCAGTGAAATAAAACTCCTACGCTGATATCTCTTGATGTGGTAAAAAACATGGATGTGCACAACATGGGGCTTCATCACTTCATCTGAAAAGACTTCAGTCAAATTCATTAGTATGAGGCTACTATCAGTCAAGGATTCAGACCCCATGCTGGTCACCTTTACTTTTCAAGTATGCTGTAAACATGCAAATGTGGAGTATTGAAAATTAAGAAGCTGGCACACATCAGGGCTTATGCCTTGGATCAAACAACATCAAGGTACATGTTCACAAGTTAAGAAAACTGGAACATTTTTTCTAAGCAGAACATCAGACAAAGGAAGCTGAAGGAAATCATGTCTTATTATGAGTTGCTACTCCAACATTTAGACATGTGCTAAATGCCCTAGCTAAACAATAACTGCAATGTTGCTTAAATCATCATAAATACTTGCCATATCCATTTTCATTTCAGTGAATGCATGCACAGATCATAGCCTTCGATCATAAATTTTGTCGTGAATACCATTGCAACTGCTTTTACTTCATTATTTTGATGTATAAAAACATCAGGTTGATAATAATTATTGTAATTATGGCTGCAGTCATTTATATCACAATTCATCACTTAATTCACTTTATCACAATTAACGGTTTTATAGAATCTCATCTTTTAAAATTAGCTTGTTTTATGCTTCTATTGGTGTAAATAATTATCCACATTTTTAGTTTGTAAATGCTTTACATTAACCACTGTAAAGAAACAAATATTCCATTCTTGAATTTTGGTTCACTTCTGTGCATAATTTAAGAAAGGTGCAAACAGACATGCCAAAATAAGTTCTGGTAATGCGGGAGCATATGCTGTGATGAATCATAAAAGCAGTGGTCAAGTTTTAAACTAGAAATTTTTAGGTTAATAAGTACTTCTATTAAGAAAATCTTATATTATGATTGAAATTGTACAGAATGTTTAAGGTGCAGATAATGTATGTAATTAAATGATATTTCAAACTTCAAAGTGTTTGTTTCTGTTGAGGTTAAGAGAACTAAGAATTGTAATATTTGTCAAATAATTAACATGCATCGTAGCGAACCAGTTCATGTGTATACCCCAATACTATGATGGGCCAGGAAAGAAAAGTCTTACATTATTTGCTTGCAAACGTTTTTTTTTAACTTCAAAATTAAGCATATACTGTCTACACTCCTTTAAAATATGTCTCATGGTTGAAATTACACTCTTATTACTTGAGAGTGCACCACTCCTCCCTCCAACCCCCCCCCCCCCCAATCAACTCTTCTCACAGTAACGACAATGTCTGACCACATAACTTGAAGGCCAGCTTAAAAATCTGACCAACCAAAATAAAAGCGTTCAATCTGATATAGTTTATTTTACCATATTTATCTAAGAACAGTCTGTAAATTCTGCAAACATTTTAGCGGGACACATAATATATAAATGAACAAAACAATAGATGGGCTACAGGTGGGGGAACTTGATCTCAACACATAGCTAAGACCACCCCATGTTTCAGAGTTTATCGGGAACCCTTCTCTTTATCCAACATACATATGCCATTCATTTCAAATATGTTGATGACTAACAGGATGGCCGGAAGCATGGGCTGGTATCTTAGGGTGCATTCCCAAAGATTTAGATGGATCCAGAGATTTAGATTTAGATCGACCTAACTCCTTGGGGGTTCATGCTAAATTGCGGTCAGCCGAGCGTGCACCATAGTTAATTACCCCCTTACAGCTTTCAGTAGGCGGGACAGACACTTAAGCTGGCTAAGCTGACAGTAATCTAGTGAGACTCCCCACAGGGATAGATCGCTCTAAAATCTATGGGAATGGGGTCTTAGAGATGCTGCAAAGGTACTCTCAAACTCTGGATATACCCTGAATTTAGCAAGGTACTGTGTCTAGACACACAGAGACAGGCATGGAGATGATACAGGTTAGTTTCTAGTTAACTCTGACTCTCAGGGTAGAGCCACATTAACAAAGACTGCATTCCCACAGATTTTAGATCGATCTATCCCCGTGGGGAGTCTCACTAGATTGTTGTCAGATTAGCCGGCTTAAATGTCTGTCCTGCCTACTAAAAGCTGTAAGGGGGTAATTAACTTTCGTGCGTGGTTGTGTGACAGCAATTTAGTGTGAACCCCCAGGGAGTTAGGTGGATCCAGATGGATCGATCTAAATCTGTGGGAAACCAGTCAAAGCCACTGTTTCAATATAGTTTTGCTATTTTAAAGAGAAACAGCTAGAGTGGGTAAAACTTGTGGTATGGAAATACCTCTGCCTAAACCTTTTAAGTACAAATTCATTCACACAGACTAATGGCATGGCTTTGTTGGGACTTAGAATGAAACTGTTTAAAAAACATAGCTTTTACATAAAACAAAAAAAGCTTGTTTATTTGCGAGAGAAATTAAAATCTGATATTTCAATTGCTTCTGATTATGTCACTGTGTCTCTTGTTTTGCTATTCAAGATATTTAACATACAATTCTTCAAACTGCTCTGAATATCAAGAAAGAACCATGACAAACAACAGCTATGATTTAGGTGTTCCTTCAAATATACTCAAAAACAATTCCTTTTATATATAATACTTCATGTACTACTACAAGTATCACATTTAAACACAGCGAGCCCTCAGTCAGTTATATGTTGCCATTCCCTCCTAAGCTTGCCACAAAAACACTGAGAAATAAATACTGCTGTGTTTCACCACAGATTATCTGTGTCACCAGCTGGGTAAAATATGGGACATGATTTCCACTATCAAACTTGAGAACATTGCTCCCACTTAATTCTGAACATTCTTTCTTATTGTTAGCAGAATTTCATTTCTAAATAATAAATAATAAAAAAAAAATAAACAAAAAATGACATTTATTAAATTAAATTAAATTAAATACAATTTTCTTACATATAAAAGTACTATAAACTGACTGACAAGTTTCCATAAAGACTGATGGAGCCATATTTTACAATGCCTTATATACTGGGCTTTTACCATTCCCTCAATTCTTCCAATCAAGTATACATCAAGTGTTCACATTAATACATCATTCAGCCTGACAGGGATGGTGCTGCTGCACACAAAAGGTGTATTTTTACTTTTACTTTTCAACACAATACATATTATCTCAGTCTAGCATCCAACGCCCTGTAAACACTGGGGAATACTGACTAAAACTGCTGGATATACCATGCTGATTGCCTTCACTAGTCGTACTCATGACTGGCCTCTCTCTGCTTGGGTTGTGGCCTGTCTTGTGTGACCTCATGGTCATCTCTGTCGGAGTGTTTTATGTTGACCTTGGTAAGAGTGTCGTACATTCCAGTGTGGGTCAGACTGAAAAAAGAGACACTGTCTTATTCAGAGCACTCTGTGACGTGGAAAGAGAAAAAAGGGCTCGACTCAAACTTCCTTAAAAATATTTATTTCAACTGTAGCAAGTAAATGTAATTTGAAAAAATAAAAAAGAAAAAAAAAAAAAAATCATCCCAAATTTTATCTTTTCCACAGACATCTTTCCAATAAACATGAACTCATGGTGCTCCTCATTAGAAGTAACTCTTCATTTGGCCGTATTCAAATAAAGAATACCACCTACAT